CATGGATCTGTAAGCTGAGGGCGGAGTTCAAGATCCTCGACTCAAGTAAGATTTTGTGATTCGCAAAAACGAATAAGATTTTGTGATTTGGTGTATGAAACTATTGTCATTGAGTGAACGGCTAAAACTCATCGTGTTATTATTCCTTGAGTTGAACAGAAACTATTGGGGTAACATAAAACACCACAGTATGAAAGCAGTACTTACGCAATTGAGCAAGCAGATCTCCGGCGCCTTTTCTTCTGAGCCATATCCTTCCTCCTCGGAGGTTGAAGAACAACCTTAATCGCAGTATCGAAAACAGCTTTGACATTCTAATCAAAATCAAGCAGAGTTTGTCAATAAGCATTCTTTTTCAAGCAAGAACATATACTAATTTATCACGCTCGGTAAAATAATTGTGTCATTGACAACATTAGGCATGAAATATCCCGGGAATTTTAATTATATTCTTCTAAGTTGTCTACCTGCTGAGTTTTCGAGCTGCACTCGATATAAGCTGCAGCACCTACTTGCTTTCGCAGCTCCTCACCCTGCATACTAAGCATAATTAGACACCTACACATGAACACAAATGCCTTATCGAAACAACAATCTTGAAGAACCGAAACAAACGGAAACAATTACCTGAGCAGAAGTTATGATGTTGGATGATCCCATATGATCAGCTAGGTACCCCATGTCCTCACGAATATCTTAAACACAGAGAAATATATAAGCAAAAATGCTGATAAATTATACTCCTAAAAGACACCCTAACAAACCATCGGAGAAACAAAATCGCCAAGTCGTTGCCTTACCTAGCTTTGTCCCAACAAGAACAATCGGAACATTGGGAGCAAACCTACGAAGTTCCGGCATCCACTGCGAAAATATACCAGAATGTATGTATCTTAGTCAGTAAAACATCAAATCCAAGCATCTATGTCAGCACAAATGAATAATCAGCCATGGAATTAGTACCTTCTTAAAACGTTCTCATAGCTTGCCCTACTAATTAAGGAGAAAGCTAACACAAATATGTCTGCACCTCTATAACTCAGTGGCCTCAACCTGCTGTAATCCTCCTGACCTTTAAAAATCAAAATACAATAAAGGGTAATCTGTAAAAACTCAAAAAAATTAACCAAAAATTCAATCTCCAAACTTTAAATCCCAGAAATCAGCAACACTTAAAGTGTAAAAGGAGGCAAGCCCAAGCCAACAAGGCTCCCCGCTTTGTGAAGGTGAGGGAACCCGCTTTGTGAGGGTGGAGAAACGTCTATCGTACGCAAAATTTAGTGCAAGGAAAACACAAAATTTACCTGCAGTGTCCCATAGCCCCAGGTTCACTATGTTCCCATCAACAGCAACATTTGCACTAAAATTGTCAAAAACTGTTGGTACATAATCCTGCCACAAAAACATAAAGGATGTAATTTTTATTTTCTTTTAGTTTTTAGCTTGATCTATGACAGAAATCCCATGAAATATTCAAAAAATTAAAAAAACAAAGGAAACAAAGAGCATTTTTTAGGTGGATATTTAAAGTTACGGGACTCACAGTAGGAAACTTGTTGCTGGTGTAACAAATGAGCATACAGGTCTTCCCAACAGCTCCATCACCAACAGTGACACATTTAATGAACTTAGAAACACTCATTCTCTCAACCCCACAACTTGAAATTAACACCAGCTAGCTAGTAGGTAATTAAGCACTTGAGCCAAAAGCACTTCTAGTTCTAGGACATACACATGTAAATGTGAAATGAGCTTTAAAAAGTTGAGCTTAAACAAAAAGCTGAACAGAAGAAGCGGTGGAAGAACAAGAAGCAGAAGTAGTAGAACGAGAGCTCAGAACATTGTCTGGCCTTTTGTTGAGGTGTGAGATGATATAGAAGCCAAGTCCTTCTTCTAATTTCAAGAAGAAAGATTTAAAATTTAAGAGAGAGAAAGTTAGGGGGAGAGAGAGAGAGAGAGAGATATACGTTGCTTGTGGTCAAACGGTCTACAGCTCCACTACTTTTTGAGTCCCTATAAGTAAATTTTCAAATCCAACAGAAATATTTTTTGAATTTACAGAAGAAAGGGCCCCTCCTCCTTCATTTTTCTTTGCTGGTTTCCAACTTGCAGTCACATTCATGGCAAGAAATGAACTTGCAACAGTAAAACTGTAAAAATGCAAATTTTGTTACAATTTCACCATCTGCATTTCAGTGCTTTTAGATACTGGAAAGTAATTTGTATTTTCAAAAGATTGAAAAAAGGCATAATTTTGTTTTAACATTGTTTTCTGTTGTCTTTTAATACAACTTTAGTGGTTAAAGTATTTTATTCATCAAATTGCCCAAAGTTCAAGTTTTATTGATGTCTCAAAAAGAACAACAATAAAACGGCTATATCGTGTTTAAACTTATTTCGAGTGTTAATAACAATTTTCGAACAAAACTATATTTCAGATTACAACAAACAATAAAATGGCTTGCATTACTATATCTAAACTTTTTTTGGGTTTAATTTTTCTGGGTGTTTCCCAAAATTTTCCCTCGTTTCTTGACATTTTTTAGTAAGTGTATAAAAAACCAAAGTATTTCTTGAAATTATGATGTGAGAGAATACTTGACGCAAAATCAAAGATAGACGCTTTATAATTTATATTAGCCAACTTCATTTAATAAATCGAAAACAACAAGATTTTTTCAATGTTTTGTCATGTTTGCCACGTAGAAATACAACAACAGTTGAAGGGAGTTTTATATATTTTAATTTTCTGTCTTTTCCTGTTATGTTAAAATACTTGGTTAATTTATAATTATTCAGATAATTTAAACTGTCGTAGAATCTATAACATTTTGTTTATCTTTGCTAATTGCCATTATCTCTGAGACAGACGTGCAACGCCTGGAACGATTATTATAAATATAAATCCACATGCTATATGCCGACCGTTGTTTTCGATTTGTCACGCATCTCAAATTTATTTTTTTATTTATTTTCTTATGAAACTCAAATATTTAATTAATTAATCACCTCTTCAACTCAAATATAAATATTCGCAATCAAGTCAACACTAATTTTTTTTAACTAAAACTGTTTTATAAAATAAAGTATATTTTTGTTAGGTTATTTATTGGTAACCAAAATCTAAGCATTTTTTGAATGATGATTATTTGACAAATTGCCAAGTGTTTGGGGTTTCTCATGTGATCCTGCATGGTTTGTGCAAATGCATGTATGCTGCAATTTTTGGAAGGATTAAAATGTAGACTTTATTTTGCCAGATTCATAGCACTTTAAAAAGTGGATGTAGCTGGAAAAAGGACGAGCGAGGATCTTGCTGGATCCTTTTTGCGAAGATCTCGAAGATCTTCCAATCACATATGTTTCTTATATATTGTGCAGTTAGTTTTCGTTAGGTATTGTTTATATTCAATTTTAAATAATAAAAATTACAATGATTTATGCCCATACGATGTACGATGTACGATAAACGAATGTGATTTGAGTATCCGGCTATGTTTCTCACTTAAAAAAGACCCGAAATTGGATATGGCGTAGGGGTCTAGATTCACCTATCACAGTTCGGATGGAGCTGTAGGCACAAGAAGGCAGATTGTCTACCCTCTTGTTTCATTCCCTCCTATTTGTACGGTCACGATTAAGTTACGTCAACATTTTATATTCCTGTTGCTTTTTGTCTTATTATCTCTATAAAAAATCAATATAAAATGTTGACGTGGTTTAACCGTGACCGCACAAAAGAGGAAGGGATGAGAATGACACCCAAACAGGATGACAGACAATCTGCCTCTGTAGGCACAATCACCCAAACTCCAAAAATCACTATTTTCTTAATGTTCATTTGACTCATTTGTTAATATAAAAATTCTACGATGAACAGGTTTATGACAATGTATCGAAGCAATGGAGCAAAGAAATTTCAATTTTTTTCATGGTATTTGAGCAAGTTGTCTCATCTCATGCGTGAAACTCAACCGTCATACGTAATTTGCATCATCCAATTTGTATTATCCACATGTTAGGCTCGAAAATTTGTCACATATGAGGAGGCGTGTTGAGAATAAATTCCACATTGATAGGAAGAAGGAATTTGCATGTGCTTAAAAGTAAGTTGAGTTATTCTTCATATTGTCAATTAGTTTTATGACGGATTCTCAATTTCTCCAGGAATCAATAATCTAATTAGGTGTAATTTATGCTTTGATGGATACAAGAAAAATCTTTGTTAATATTATCGAATATATGTTTCCTTCCTTTCAACCTCAATACTTAAACATGTTTATTTACTTAAAACGAGTCATGTATAGTGGGGAGAAAGAATGCTACTGAGAATCTGAGATCAAGTACTCTTATAATCAATCTAATTATTTATTTTTCGAGTATTTAATATTATTTAATTTCATAGTGTGCTGTAAGCCCATATGAACTAGTAACTAGAGTAGTTTAAACACCGATGCGTTCATAAACACACAAAAAATTCAAAAATTAGAATAACTCCAATATCATTTCAACTCATTCTAATATATAATATAAACATGCATAATCATGTGATTACGGGTTGGAATCTCATTCCTTGATTTGGGCTAATCTATGCTTGAAAAGTTTAAGACACCATCATATAAATCCTCCTCAAAAACAGGGTGAAAACAATGTTCAACCCTCCATTCACGCTTGAGACAGTCATCTTGACGTCTCCATGTCATATAAATCCTTCTTAAAAACGAGATGAAAACAATGTTCAACCCTCAATTCACGCTTGAGACATAATCACCTCAACGCCTCCATGTCAAATAAATCCTCCTTAAAAACGAGATGAAAACAATGTTCAACCCTCAATTCACGCTTGCGACATAATCAGCTCGACGCCTCCATGTCATATAAATCCTCCTCAAAGACGGGCGGAAAACAATGTTCAACCCTCCACTATGGATTCTGGAAGAATCTATTTTTTCACAAAAAGCTGTAAAATCCTTATCATCATTTAAATATCCTTCCTCATATATCACAAAATAGCTCCTTTATTTTCATTACACAAACTACTAAACAGAAGTTTGAAGATCCACATAGATATAAAATGTCACCCGACTAAAATGGCCGGAGACGTTACAGATAGGAAGGCTCGAGTCTCAGATACAGAAGGGAGCAAGCTGGGGGTGAGGGAATGTAAATATTCAGAGAGCCTTGAGGATGTCTTCGGCGCTGGAGATGGTAAATTCTCCCCCACTCTCGATATTTGCGGCCTTCACCTTGAGGTCTTCGATCAAGAGAGCAAACCTCTTAGAACGAATTCCAAGCCCTTTCTCTGAAAGGTCTAGCTCCAGGCCAAGATCACGGGTGTATTTCGCTGAGCCATCAGCAAGAAAAAGAACGTCTTTGTTCTCGGGGTATGTTTTTGACCAAGCCTTCATCACAAAGGGATCATTCACTGCAAACACGAATCAAAGCCTTAAATCCGATATCTGATTCAGCAACATTTGCAATGGATCAATCAAAGGGTACACCACAAGCATGCATAAAAACAAATATGTTCGGTGGACAAATTCACATGGTATTCTCATGAGCAATTGATAGACCATATACAAGCTATCATTCGCGAGCTGATATAGTAGCCTCTGTTACAATACCACATCAAGTAACTACAATATACCAGCAATGCATACAGCGACAAGGGGAGGGTAATAGCAAGAAGACCAACTAATCGAATCTTATGTTATGAAGGTGTGTTTGTGTCCAATGCGGAACAACTAAGAACAAGCAAACTGCAAGTCTGCTGTAGATTTACTAGCACTGACTACGAAATGCAATTGACATTCCACCCCATCAGACGATGATTGATCAAATATTTAGGAACACTTAAGTAATCACTCTCAGTATACACAGGAAGCATTTTCCTAACTCTACAAGATATGGGGAGGGGGGAATCGAACTAATCGAGCTACAAGCCCCTTGCAAGCAAGTTCTCTGATCACTAAAGTTAGCATTAACCTTAATCTCTTGTATCCCACATACAACTCTCAAAAAAGTTAATGGCATTTATCATATGATCTAGCAAGCCAAATCACAATCACACGTACAATCCATGATCAACAGATCGAAAGGGCAAAAGGGATTTTCTGTTTTCGGGTTAGTCCATGAATTCACACCTCAAATTCAAAGAATAAACCTTGAAAAGTTCAAGTAAATTGAAATTAACAGAAAATACAATTAAGTGAGAAGTAATACCGCTAAGACACAGAATTTTCTCAACACCCTTCGATTTAAGCTCGTCTGCTTTCTCAATGAATCCAGGCACATGCTTCAAACTGTACAACCACAGCATAAAACCAACCTCAAATTCTCAGCAAAATAATTAACAATCATTCAAAAAATCTACAACCGTCCGATTCAAACCAGTCACCAATCTAAACCGTCCACTTAACAAGTAACAAATTCACACCAAAGCAAGCAACTTTACCAACGTGGGGCTCATTTTACATAACATTTTCCTACCATTTTCCCGGGAACCAAAAAGTGGCTAGGGTTTGGCAGAAAATTCTATATCCGGAAAATTCGGAGATCGAAAGATTCGAGCTTTACCTGCAAGTGGGGGTGAAGGCACCGGGGACGCCGAAGAGGATGACTTTTTTGCCGGCGGCGAGGGAGTGGACGCTGACGGATTGAACCTTGTCCTCCTCGTCGAAGTAGGCGAGAGTGCCGTCCGGAATAACATCGCCGACTGCAATCGGAGCCATAGCTTTGATCTGCGGTTATGGTGATTGAATTCGTTGATCGTACGGTGAATGATGAGTGATAAGGGTGCGCAGTTGTTGTACAGGATTAATAGAGCCTTTTATATAGGGACTACTAGGGAGTAGAGTGTGGTGGAGTTCAGTGATTTTATCAAATTGGATTTGATAAATATTTTGGGGTCCGGTTTTTATTTTTATTTTTATTTTCTTTATTGTGGGTAGAGAAAGTTTTACATACAACGTATTTATCGTACGGTAATGTATTGGTCTGTAGACTAACAGGAAAATATTTTTTAGACAAAAGGGGTCCTCCCGCCAAAAAAAAAAATGGTTTTGAATAGAGAAATTACCATTTCTCGTGGATACAAAGAATTCTAGCCACATAAACAACTGGAAAGCGGAATTCTGATACTGGTAATTAATGATAGCAACTTCTTTCTCTTCTTAAATTTAGGAGCCGGATAATCTTTATCTTAAGGATAAATTTTTTAGAATGTTTGAAATACAGTACGATGCATTACAATTGATTTATGGAGATGTGTTCTCGCACAGGAAAATATCTCTCTATCTCAAGAGGTGGATAAAAAGTGTGATTTGAGAATAATTTTTTCAAGTCCTCTGTAAAATGGGAGCTCGAGTCCATTAAAGATAATCTAATGTAATATTACATGTAGGTTTGGGGAGTCCCTATTTTTTTTTCACACGACGTATATGTAATAGGCTCAGTTATATAAATCCAGTAATAAATATATGATGATTTATACGAAGATACGATGTTTTGTTTGGATTTTATTTTTTATTTTTTATTTTTATGCATAGCTTAAGGAATAAAATACGATAGCTTAGTGACACAATTAAGTACAGTACATATACTATGGTATTTCAAGAAGATAATGTAATTTATATTCCTATGCCTCAATTTATCCGTCGGGGCAACAAACTTTGAGCCTTTGGAACTTTACCGTGCATCAAAGTTCTTTGGTGGCAACGCCAAGTGTTTCTTTTTTTTCCCCAAAGCAGCAGCTGTCACTTGAAGAAATCCAGTAGAGAAACTGTTTGGAGGAACTTAAACAAATGGAAGATCCCAAGAAGAAGAGAACAGTGGACAAGAACATGTGCCCTACAGGGACTCAAAACCCTACAACCCAACCAAGTTTAACCCTTCGTTCTTCGGGTTGTCTGGATTGTCCCGTTGATTGGCACCAGAGGCCAAGGAGCACGGTTGGACGCCACCGGATCCTGACTGACATGATACCGAGTGAGGCGAAGATAGGCATGACTTGAGCTGTGCTTGCTGGAACGCATTTGTATTTGTACGGGTTGCAATGATGTGGCCGTGCTTGTGGAAATATTTCTGTTAGCCATAGCACAACCTTTCCGTTCATGAAAACATATGGAAACTACTATTGGACATACAATGTAGTACAAACGTGTAATCATTTCACTTCAATTGGGCTCTTCCATTATACGGGCACCCTTTCCTCCCTATGCGGCATAACCAGGTCCAGGAGCATGTTGAGGTTCATCGATTACAAGCGGATTCGTGAACTTCAGATGATTAATTTTTGTGTGCATGTAACATATGTGACAACATAACGTAATTCCATGGAGAATTAGGGCAAATTTTGCTTACAAATAGGCTAACGATTGTTCCCAAAGAAATCACTTGAAACCGACCCAGAGAGAATCGGAGAGAAAAGCTCTGATATAGGCGTAAAATTCAACGTGGCTGACCACAAGAACAAGATACTAGCTCCGATAGCGGCGTCCAAGTGATATCCAAATACCAAGTACATGATCATATGAGCATGAAGACCATAGCTTGCAACCTTTTCGAATGCCTCTTTTGCTGCACACAAAAAGTAAAGTTATAATCAAAAAGTAGAGTTATGCTCAAAACTTGGGATACCGCAGGTAGTCCGGCTATGAATCATATATCCGTTCCTTACGAACATCCTGCACAGAGAATGATCTGGCCATATAAGAGAGCTTACAAAATGATAAAAGGCATGGTTCTAAGGCCACCCTTCATGCTTGTTTGGTGGTGGTTTTGGTTTGGTCTGAAGAGGCCAGCTTCATCGCTGCACCCATTATTTTGGTCTCAGAAGAATGCGATCTTTGATATATATATATATATATGTGTGTGTGTGTGTGTGTGTGTGTGTGTGTTGTGTGTGTGATGTCAAAGAACGTAGTTAAAAGAGATGGACATAGATAGAGATTTAAAAGCTTAAATTGGGTAGGCAGAGATGCCCAAAACTGTTTGACAACAGGTAGAGATGCCCACAAATCTTTTAACTTACTGGTGTGAGATCGAATGATCTATGAGAGCATATGTGGCTATTTGGTATTCACGTACAATAGATAAGGATGATTCTAGAGAGACTACATTTTGTAGATCGCATTTAAACTCTCTCCCCATTAGAGATAGGGTCCACAATACAAGTAGGTTCCACTATTAAATGTGGTCTCCCTACCATTTTTTTCAATAAGTAATGCTAGATAAACTATATTTTGTAAACTATTTGACGTTGTTGTTAATAATTGAATTATTACTTAACTATTTATTAGCATGCTTATTTCCTATTAGTGTCACATCAATCATTTGCAAAGTTTCAATGAATGATTCCTTTACTAACACAATGCAGCCAACTCTATTTGTTAGAACAGCTTTCATTGAGTCTCTGCACTATTCTTTTTTATTCTCGGTTTATGAAACCCTTGTTTATTTTCAGTAAAACAGGATTTCGCTTAGGATTTGCTCATTTAAAAAGTTGGTCTACTTAGTATCACTCTTTTTCAACAAATAAAGAGAACATTGTCTTCTAAATGACGGAAAATGTTAGGGAAATCATTTTTTTAGCCCATATTTTATATATCATATGATGTGGTGGTTGATGACTAGATTCTTTGTTACATCATATGATTCACAAAATATAATTTAAATATATGGTCTCAAACATTACTCTCTAAATAACTATTACAAGACACTCATTTCCGACGTCAGATAGCACTCTCAAACCCAAGTTAATCTGGCAATGATAATATATACAACGCCATCTTACAATTAAGATGCCTAGCGATCGATATCATTCGACAAGAGATTGCAATTGCATATATAGGGTACATAGACCGAACTTAAAAGTGTATATCATAGTGCCTATATTTTGTTCCTCATTTCATCATGAGGAGTTCCAAATCTCAGCACTTTTAACCTTGGAGATGCTCTCTAGCACTTCGAGAGGAAGAACGTCTCCAATCACAACCACCATCTTGCTCTCCAAGTCTACTTTGTAAGAAGTTACGCCTGTAAATATATCAGCAGCATTGGGTTACAAGATAGTACGTACGTACGTACGTATTACGTACGTATGCATGTATCAAACAAGATAATTTATACCTTCTATCTTTGAGATATGCTTCTCAACTTTTTTGGCACATCCATGACAGTGCATGGAAACCCTTAGCATAACCATCTGCATAATTTTTTTTCGCCAACAGAAAATCAATCAATCTTCTTCGAACAAACATTGAATCTACTGAGTTATCCAAATCATTCTAATCTTAGCCACCAAACGAGGCCAACAGAAAGAGAGATGAAACAAGAGAATAATACCTTGGGCTTCAACTGAAAGGCCAACGTCTGTTTTCCGGCAACGACATCCTTCAGTTTTAGAAACTGATCCTTTTCGCCGGTTACCAACGGACTTCTTTCGAACTCGTCTTGGTGTTTCGACCAGTTCAAGCAGAAACAAGAACCTGAGCCAGCAGAAGAAAGACAAAACCTGTCCAGCACTCCGCCCAAACTTAGCTTCCCCATTGCAACAACCAGCACAAACTTCTTAGCCAAACAAACAGAGACACAAATCTAAAGCCAAACAGAATTTCCCAACACAAGTAATCTCTACACCCGATCTGCCCTTCCCAGTTAACCAACCAACTCCCTCAGTGTTGTAATCCAACGCAGACCAGTGTGAACATTATAATAGTGTGGGGGATAGACACAGAGAGAGAGAGAGAGAGAGAGAGACAGACAGACAGACAGACAGACAGACAGGCTAAGGTTCAAATATTCATTGGGGAGGCCAAATTAAAGCTGTGCAGAACCCAATGAAGCCTATGAAGGAGGAAAGGGAACAAGACCCAATAATTTATAAATTGTATAACTCAGCTGGTCAAAAAAATTAAGTAGGGGATCCAAAAACCCAGAAAAAAGCAGTGCTTTATAAACTGTAAACCAATTCTTATACCAGAAAAAACAAAACCCCAACTAGATTTTGCCATGTGATCAGACTCCTAAATTCTCCAAGGTATTGAGTGAGAAAGTTTATTTGAGATGAAGCTGCAAGTGAGCTCTCTCTCTCTCTCTCTCTCTCTCTCTCTCTCTCTCTCTCTCTTTCTCTCTCTCTCTCTCTCGTGACAATTCTGCTAAAGAAAGAAACCTAATATGCAATAAAAGCTGTTGAGGATGTGCCTGATATGTCATATGACTGAGAGGTGGATGGAGGGAAGAAAAGGAAAAGCTTACAGTGACCAATGGAGGAAGTATAGCAACATACCACACTTTATGACATGTGATGACGACTAGGAACACATCCAAGTTAGAGGCAAAGAATATGTTTATATATATATATATAATACGTAGTTCAAATAATTTGGATAAGCATCATGAAAAGTGACTTCTACACATTATTTTTCTCTAGCTTTGCCACTCACAAATACAAGAAATGTTTAAAAAACAGTAATGTTTGGTGAGCGCCCAAACTAATTGCATCAAGATAAGTGCATGTTGGTCGTTTAACATAATATTAAGAGTAAAGTAGAGTGATTAACCACCTAATCTGCTTGGGTTGATGAACCCCTCAGCTAACCCGAAAGTGTCTTGTGATGATAGATAATATAATTCATAAAACACTACAAGAACTGAAATATGTTGACAGTTTTGTCATGGCCTTGAATATCAAATGGAAAATGGGACAGATGGCCATCCATTATTGGAGCCCCATGAGCTCACACTAACAAATATATGATAGAATAATTTCACAATAAATAAATAGTTGGTCCATGTGAAATGGTTCTTTAAAACGTAAATGAAACCAAATTTGAAAAAGACTGTAGTGAAGAAGACATGTTAGTCACGTGAGGAGTACATGATTATTGCTAAATGCAAAAAAAAAAAAAAATTGGGTGGCAAATTGCATGTCTGTAAAACTAGAGGGGAGCAGGCACCACTCATATGGCCTGGTTTTGTTGGGTGACCAACTGGAGTACTGCGCCCTTTGGTTATGGAGTGATGGACAGAGTTGCATTTTTCTGCTGATGGACTGGGAAATGTGGTCATGACAGCAATGACGTGGGATTTATTAGGTTGTACCACTAACATGACAAGTTCTAGCATAATCGACGTATGTCTGCGAGACCCCTCACACTAACAATTTATATCTGTGTGCCAGAGCAATGATTGGCACGCCAATGTGGCAATGCAAGCCCGTTGCGGATTTCTGTGTCTAGAGCACAAGAACATGCTAGGGCGTTGAAGTGAAAGAAAGAGAAATTTAAATTCTTAGTTTTTGTGAGGTGTGTTAACGAAATGGACTAATAAGGATTACATGATTTAAAATGAATAATCTGAATCTCTGAGTCTGTTAGCACCGGAGTATATCTCATTTCACACTGTGGGGCACCATCCATGTCCAGAGCAAAAGGAATTTTAGACAGCAAATTCTACACCGACATCAAATTAATAAGCTAATTAACTATAACACGTGATTAGCCATTAGGCGTTTCGTCCTCCGTTTCTTTCGTTTCTTGTGCACATAAAAGCATAATCTTAGTCGACAATTGCACGACAGATCAAATATTGAGTACCTGATCTGCCCCTCGAGCTCCGATTCTCCGAATCGATCATCGTCGCGTCTCACTTCAATAGAAACGCTGCGTTCTGCGAATCGCTCTTGTGCTTTGCTTCTTTTACTTCTTTTTCTTCTCAACTTCCACCGCAGAAGAATTGACGAGCGCGCCAAATTGGAAGCAGCAGTAGGGATATAAAAGGTCAAGACTCGAGCCCATATCAAAAAATAAGGAACGCCAAACCCAAATATTGAATGGGCCGACAACCTGGCCCATTTAGATCAAGCTAAACTTTTAAAAAAAAATTTACTAAAATTCTATATTTAAATATTTAAAATTACTCAATATTTGTCACATCCGGGTTCGACTCCACCATAGCACGATATTGTCCGTTTTGAGCCCACTCACTCTTATTTTTATATTGTAAGATCCCACATTACCCAGGAGAGAGGATCCTCAATGTCTTATATGTATATTCTCATCCCTACTTAGCACGAGGCCTTTGTGAGTTCACTGGCTTTGGGTTCCATCAGAACTCCGAAGTTAAGTGAGTAGCGCGCGAGACCAATCCCATGATGGGTGACCCATTGAGAAGTTCTCGTGTGGGTTCCCATAAACAAAACCGTGAGGGTGTGGTAAGGGCTCAAAGCGGAAAATATAGTGCTACAGTAGAGTCGAGCCCGAGATGTGGTGGGGGCCCAAGCTGGGATGTGACAAATTTGGTATCAGAGCCAATCCCTGGCCGGATGTGTGCCGACGAGGACGTCGGGCCCCTAAGCGGGATGGATTGTAAGATCCCACATCGCCTAGGGGAGAGGATCTTCAATGCCTTATATGTATATTCTCATTCCTACCTAGCACGAGGCTTTTTGGGAGCTCACTGGTTTCGGGTTCCATCGGAACTCCGAAGTTAAGCGAGTAGTACACGAGAGCAATTCCATGATGGGTGACCCACACTGGAAAGTTCTCGTCTGAGTTCTCGAGTTCCCATAAACAAAACCGTGAGGGTGTGGTGGGAGCCCAAAACGGACAAATATCATGCTACGGTGGAGTCGAGCCTGAGAGGTGGTGGGGGCCCTAAAGCATTGAGGATCATCTCCCCTGGACGATGTGGGATCTTACAATATTATTTACCCAAAAAATCCCAAATATTAAATAATTATATTTGTATAATATTCATAGTTAATAAATAAATATTTTACTATCAAAATAACTAACTTCTTTTTAAAACTGAGAAAAAAAAAATTTAACATTATTATTTTTATATTGAATTTTGACTACATAAGCACGAAGGTACAAAATCACGTTTCCATTCATTATGTATCATATTTCACAAAGGTATACAAAAATATATGATTGTTTTGGTTTTAATTTGTACGTACCATATTTCACTCACTCACTCACTCACTATGAGGATGATCGTGGTTAAACTCCAAATAGATGTTGATTGCTTTACATAACACATAATAACTAAAGGGTGTGATATCCACACACCCTTTTTTACTTCTCCCACACTTTTTTAGTTTTCAGTCGTCAGATCGGATGAATTGAAGAAGATCAACGGACATAAATTAACAAGGGGTGTGTGAGAAGTAAAAAGGAGTGTGTGGATAGCACACCCCTAACTAAATTAGTAACTACATTATTCTTATAAATGCTTGAATAATAGCATGTTAGCAAACTAAGCTATAAATTATTTTCTTTTCTTAGGCTCAACAAATTTATAATATAATTTATATAATTAAAAAACACATAGACTGAGGTCTAGAAATACTTTTTATTAATAAAGGGATAGAGATCCGTTTCGGATTTCACTATCCAAAGCCCAAGAACCAAGCAATCATGATCACTCAAGTTGGATTCAGTTGTAACCATTAACGCATTCCACTGATCCACCTCACACAAATCAAAGACTCCAAATTTTCCGATCTTTAAACTTTGGACACTAAGATCCGAAGAGGATCCAAATTCTTAATAAAGGTACTGAAGCCGGTGTATTTGATTATTCAATTAAACTCCATACAATGATGGTGATGTGAGACCAAATACATGGATGTTGGATTCATTTTGTCCATCTTTGCAAAGTATAATCTCAACCAAATATTGATTTTGTTGAAGGATATTGACTCTCATAATTCTCTTGTCTCTAATTGCATAAAAGAAAAAAAAAAATGATGAATTATAATGCTTTTTATATTAAGATTGAATTGAAGCTTATTTTAAAAAAAAAAATACAAAGATTAAGCATGCATTTTAATAATGATGACTAAATGCCGTTGTGACATAATACGCCAATTTTCAATGCAAAGTGACATAATAGTATGGCATTATTGCCAGCTAAGGTTTGGTCTCATATGCATGTCATAGAGAGACAAACATGTGCAACCAAGGTTTTAAAAAGTGGTAGGCGTAAGTCATATGACAGGAAAGAATTTAACAACTACATACCTAGATGGAGTTTTTAACTTTAATTAAAATTTTATTATATAATATTAAAAACATATAAAAAAAGTGACAACAACCGGATATGGCTACTTAGAGCTGTCCAGATCACCTAAGCAGCCTCCTAATGGCCGTCTAGATACTCCATCAATGTTCTAAATGCTTAGGCCCTAATCAGGGTGCCCTGCCTTGGTCTAGTGCCTATGTGGCTGTTTAGGTCGCTTTTTAGAACAATGTGTTGGATTCCAACACAATGTGCACGTAGAATTTGATGAAATTTGGCTACTAAGGTTAACAACAAAATCACATATGAACAAATGCAGAATAGTACAAGTATATAAAGAAATAAATTCAAAAAAATTTCGAAATGGAAAATCATTACATTTCAAAACTACTATAGTTACTATGTTTGAAAAAAAACCTCAAATTTAAAGGTGTCTTATTGACGAGGGAGATACAAGTGATTTTCTTATTCTAAAGATTCGTATATCAATTTCGTTTATAATTCTACATAATAATTGTGTCTAATTTGAAAAGGTGAAATTTTCTGATTGCACGTATTTGTTTAAAATTTAAAATGACAAAAAATACTTATGAAATCTAGAAACAGTTGTCGCTGTCTTTTTTATTGAGAATTCATCAAAACAAATTACGTTTGTTAAATGCTTCTTCAATAATAGACACAATTGAAATACTTCTACAAGTTGGACGCACTCCCAACAAAAACGTCAAAAACTTAAAAAGCACTTTATCTAGAAGTGCTTCTTACATAAACATTCTCAAACGGTGAGGTGATCGGTTGAAATTGCCAAAGGGTAAATTGACCGTTAATCAATCAAGTCGCCTTGTATGACCGCGGATTGTGGTTCCAAGCTAACGAAAGCAATGCTCCCGTCAATATAGCGAGCGAGCGCCACGATCGTAGGGACAGGGTAATCCCCCTGTGTCCGAGAACACCGTAAAATATCCCAATTCCTCACTCTCTCTCTCTCTCTAACATCTAGTAGGAATCAAAAGCAGAGTCTGATTAAGCTCTGAGCTGTACAACGGCCATAGCCACGCGCCCTTCAAAGATCTGTTACCTTCCATTGATACACACCAAGCGCGGTAGCGGGTGGATCTCGGCGACGGCGTCGTTTGGATAGAGTCCTGCAGGAGTAGAACAGCTTCTTCTTCTTCATCCGCAGCGAGTTGAGGTCAGTACTATTTGTTTCTCGAGGTTCTGTACAGATTCGGATTTGTCTCTGCTTGTTTAAATGCTCGTCGGCGGCTCTGATTTTTCAGATCCGCCGCAGTACGGTGGTTTATGTACTGAACAGGCGGTGGTCTGTTTGGTTGTTTAGAAAATGTTGGCTGAGAAAATAAAATTTGGAGTTAATTGTTTGGTTTAGGGCTTGGATTTGTAGAGGATTTCGATTCGATGTGTTTATCGACTGTTTGGTTAGTTTAGTTTCGGTAGGTTCATTGCTTTCTGGAAATGAAATCGATGCAAAACTTTAAAATCCATGATATTGAACTAGGTTTGTAGGAAATGGATTTGTCGGTTAAAGATTTCGGCGTAATTTGGTTCAATTCTAGTGGCTATGTTATGATTCAATTCCTCTGTCTTGTCCGAATTTATGTTTCTTTGGTATTATTTGTGGCTTATGATGAAATAGGGAGTGCGAGAATGGCAAGTCGAAAGGAAGACGAGAAAAATGAACGAATTATTCGCGGCCTTCTTAAACTTCCTGAGAATCGCAGATGCATCAACTGCAACAGTCTGGTACACGATTTATTGCTTTCTTGTTCAATGTTCGTTCATTGTTGCTTTCGTTGTTTCACACGCCACTTGTACATTTTACGATCATATTCTTTGTATCTCATTATGGTTTAATGGTAGATGGAATTTGGTCCAAACTACGTTACTGAATTTATGTAAAGTAACATTAACTTATATTTTACACAAGTCAGCAAGAAACTCGATGATAGACGTGATTGAATCCAGCAGTCAAGCTATTGGAGAATGTAACTTGGATTGTGATACTAGTATTTTTTCAGAGAGAAGAACCCTAACACTTCTTCATATACTTCTAAACTTAGGCTTAGACTCATAGAGCTTATTCTAGAAATTATACTGTTACAATGTATATAGTAAACCAAATGTATTTTGTGTTCTTGCGCAAAAATGCAAGTCAGATTAAGTATCACACAGACTGTATTTAATATGTAGCCTGGCATCCTTAGAAACAAATTAGTACCTTAGGAGCAATATTTATGTCCAAAAAATTTGTCATGATATGGTTTTGAGTTCAACGAGTGCACGTGGGTAAATTTATACCTAAAGAGTATGATTTTGTGGTTACAACTTACGTTCGTTCTTTTAATTTCATTTCTGCTAAGCAGGGGCCACAGTATGTTTGCACAAATTTCTGGACATTTGTTTGCACAAACTGCAGTGGAATACAGTAAGTCATGATGTGCTCTGCTGCATTATTTCTTAAAGATATTTTCCTTTCCTCTGTATGCGTGCGTAGAGACAGTAGAGGCAGGAGGGGGATGCTGGGTTGTTTTTTATTGAAAATTATACTCCTTTCATGTTTCATGGGCAACACTTATTGATTTGCTTGCATCGTGTTAATTACATGAAATGTTTCCAGCCGAGAGTTCACACACCGTGTAAAATCAGTATCAATGGCCAAATTTACTTCACAAGAAGTCAATGCCCTTCAAGAAGGGGGAAATCAGGTATTCATGCATCTCTCTTCTCAGTTCTTGGAGATATTATTTCTATCTGTTGCTAATCTTCTCTGTTTATCTTGGGCTCCTCTCTACTTCCCCATTACAGCGTGCAAAGGATATTTATCATAAAGAATTGGACCCGCAACGTAACTCCTATCCTGACAGCAGGTTAGTACTCTTTTATTCAGTTTTATATTAGTGCTAGTAATGACTGGTTCTGATTCAAATTTTTTATTCCAGTAATGTCGAGAGACTTCGAGACTTTATTAAGCATGTATATGTGGATAGAAGATATACTGGTGAGAGAAACTTGGACAAGCCTCCAAAGGGGAAAATGGTGAGCTATCCTTTATACCCAGTGCTACCATATACCTAAAGTCAACAAACTGGTTCAGTTTACTCTTATACCACAATGAAATTGTTACAAGTCTTTCTGGGTTTAAGTTGTTAATTACATGTCATACAGGGTGAGAAAGAAGATTCCTATGACAACAGAAGAGTGGATTCATATCAGGGTGGCTCTCGAAGCCCACCATATGATGATAAATATGAGCGTCGTTACAGTGATAGGTCTAGTCCTGGTGCAAGAAGTTATGATGGGCAAAGAAGTCCTGGATATGATCAAGAAAGTCGTCAGTCTAGTGATTATAGGAGAAGTCCTGGTCGCCCTGAGATTGTGAATGATTGGCGTCGAGAAGATAGATTTGGAAATGGGAGTCGAAATGATGATCGTAGAATATCTGATGGAGATTCTAAAGTGGAAGGAAAATCACCTGAACGACCAAGAGATCTAAATTCGTCAAGTCCCCCTATTGTACGGCCTGTTAGAGAGATTTTAGGGGAGAACACAGTACCTCTCCGTATAATTGAACCTCCAAAAGCTAACAGTGCTAGAGCTACTGATAGCTCTGTGCAGCATACACAGGTGATGGTTCTTCTCATCTGAATCATCTTGGTGTTATACTGTTTTCATTTACATGTGAGACCAGTATAATGTTTCAGCCGTTATATGTAAAAGAGCTGCTAGTGCCCGTGGATACATATTGAGTCACAATCAATGTGATTGTAATCCCTTGCATGTCTGCAATTTTGTAGTCAACTCCATGCAGCTTACCTGTTGTGCTTCACACTTTCCTGTAATGATATCTGTGTTAGTTCTGTTATATAGAACGTGATTGCATGCTGTATTTGTTTGGGTAATTTTGTCTTTTCCTCATCATTCCCAAAATAATAAGTAAAGTTATTCTTTTACTGTTTTTAAATAATTTCAGAGAAGTGTGTCGTCCAGCAGCTTGGCCTCCTCCAATGGGAACCCAGTGGAAGTGAAGCTGGAGACTTCTGGAAGTTTAATTGATTTTGATGCTGATATCAAACCTGCTCCAGCTGTTGTAGTTCCTCAAGCACAACAAACTACTGTAGCTCAATCCTACCCACAGCCTGCAAATTCAACCAATGACAACAATTGGGCCTCTTTTGATGTTACTCCAGCAGTGAAAGCACCTCAAGCTCCTGCAAATGTGAATTCAGTAGAATCTCTGCTATCACAATTGTCGGTTTCAGCACCTGTCCCTAGTTATGTTTCTGGGACTGCAGGTAATCTTGGTGCCCCCACAGTTGCACCAGTAAGCAGCTTGTCAACATTTCCCCCTGTTGCTGCTCTAGTTCCTGCCCCTGGATCTCAAGCATTCCCAGTAAATGGTGGTAATTTCCATGTTAAAGATCCTGCTTCCGGGCAATGGCCTACCATGCAGCACCAGCAACCTTCTTTATACCCTGCTACTGGGGTTCAGTCTGCTGGACAACAATATATGCCTTCCACTGATGGAACTTCGACTGTTGCATCACAATCGTCAGCTGGGGAAGCAAAGTCTACTGGAAGAAGAGAACTTCCTGCGGTAATTATACTTTTAATTGGCTTTGTTGGCATCATGATAATATATAAGCATAAGCTAGATGTACTTTTTTGTCCCGTATTTTAAGCCCAATTCCACTTTAACCCTTGTTCTAATTTAAATTAGTTTAATCTATAGTGGGTAGCATTTCGTTTTAGATTGTCACATACCGAAAATGTGAATTTGTGCACTAATTTTGCCAAATTTCAATATTACCAACACGACAAATGTGGAATTGAGCCAATTTGAAATGTAAACTTCTTTACCTTTAGAAAAATTTTAATTTTCCATCAACCATGTGACCAAACTGAAAATTTGGTCGCACTGAAAGTGTTGCAGACTATAAGGGTAAATTTGATTAGGTTACACTACACTACAGGGACCAAAGTGCAATTTGAACTAAATGTTAGGGACCAAAAATGTAATATCGTTTTATAAGTATGTACTGTGTACTCATGTATTTGTTGAAATCTGAATTAATTGCAGGATGTTTTTGCAATGAACTATTCATCTTTTCTGGCACCAGTTCCTGGATGGCAAACTGGTCCTCCTCGTGGTATGGGGTTTCCTATGCCATATAACACTGCGGTGGTATTGTCTCTCAACTCGACATTTTAAAGATAATGAGTTCGTTCTCTTCACAAAAATGATTGGTATAAACCACTTTTTAAACTCATTGTATTTGAATTTCTGTTTATATAGCCAATGCCCAGTTTTAAGCAGTCTTCAAAGTCAGCGAACCCATTTGATGTAAACAGTGAACCTCCAATACAAGCCTCAGCGGTACGTTATTTCAGTTCATCTTAAGTTATCCTAAACAATGCATCTCTACTTTTTGGGTCATAGTTTGCTCAAAACCAATAACTCACCAGAAAACTGGCATTATTAGTTAGAATCAGGGCTGAAGTATTTGTTTTTAGCTCGACATGTTTCTGATATCTCATCAATTGATGCACAAATAATTTGAAGCTTGTTGATGTGTTTTCTTAATGCAGTTTCCTTCCTTGCAAGCTCCCCTACCAAATGCCCAGCCTTTATCCCCTTCAGGTTTAATGCGCACGTCCAGCCTTGGTACTCCCTCATCAGCATGGATGCCCCTCCAGTCATCACCATATTCATCAGCGGTTCCTCCCCAAGCACCACAATATGCATCCCAAGTGCCTCCCCAAGCACCACAATATGCATCACAAATGCCTTCCCAAGCACCGCCGTATGCATCACAAGTGCCTCCGCAGCCACCACAATATGCATCACAAATGCCTTCCCAAGCACCTGCCGTATGCATCACAAGTGCCTGCCCCAGCCACCACAATATGCATCACAATTGCCACCAAGTAATATATTGCAGCTTTTTCCCTTGTTCTTTTCCTTCTAGGAAATAGTGAAAAATAGTTTGTCAGTCTTTTTAATTGGAAATGAGCGTTGAATTGTGGTTTGATAACTTCAGGAGCCTACATGGTACAACAAGTTCCGAGCAGCGTGCCACCTTCCGGGTAACCATAATCTTGAGTTTTTCTATTTTTCATTTACTATGCAATTAGCATTGGATAACACCGAACATCTAAAATAAGTAGTTGCTCCAAGTTTTCTCCCGTATGGTTCTACTTTACAAGCTGTCCTCATGGATTCACAAATGCGGGTGTTATATCCCGATTGGAACCTAAAACTTTCTTGAATTTCTGAAAAATTCTGCATGTATTCAGTCCCCACAATATAAATATGCATGTGAAGATTGGAGTGTAATTTATGTATTTTAATGAGATAATTTGTTGATTGCGGTTTCCCTAACCTATTTGTCATACTTGTAGGTATCAAGGGGCAGGCGGCTTTGGCACCGGTGGGGCTTCTTTTGGTTCGTTAAATGTGGATCAGCAGCTGGCAGGTAGATTCTCAGCGCCTGCTACGCCAAATCCATACTCTTCGGCTGGAGGAAATCCATTTGGGTAGATGAAAAAAACACAAGATGGTCTCTAATCCCATTTAGGGTCATCATCTTGCTGCTGCTGCTGCCTGTCAAATTGCTGGAAAGGTTTTGGTTTCTATCTCCTCTAGTTTTTATGTTATCCGATGCAGCCTAATGCGAGATTGTGTTCTTGGATCATCACCGGGGTCGGTCACAAGTCAAAAGGTCGACTTCCCGTCATGTACAATTTGTTTGTTGTTTGTAAGAAAGTGAGAGAGAGAGAGAGTACATAGTTTAAAGGGCCATTAAGTTGTAGAGTTTGCTAGCAAAGGTGTTTTTTTTTTTTAATTTTTCTTTTTCTTTTTTCTTCGCCTACTTTGTTGTATGATTTTGCAATCACATTATTATGCTGTGAACTCGTTGAGTCTTAAGGAAGTTGGTGGAACGGTAGCAATGATGTTACAGTGAAATGCAGTTTGTACGTTAATACAATTGTCGATCGATCGAGTGGTGAGGTTATTTTCTGATGCGGGATTTTACGGTTTTGCCTTTGGTTCTTAATTTCCAGTAATGCTGCAGCACGGGCTTTTCTTTTGGTTTCTTGGTTTCCAAGTTACTAAACGTCAAATTTAGGTGGACAAATATTATTTGGTTTTTCTGTTAATTACTTAGTAATTAAGAGCATTTTTAGTTGTTTTGCAGACTCGTAGAGAACGGTAGGACATTTTATATAGCACGAGTACACTATTATGATATTCCGTATTAATGTACATTTAGAGAGGAGTTCACGCATGTATCATTGGCATGGAATGTTATGTTGACGATGTTTTGCACCTCCTGGGGTTAATTCGTGAAGGGCAGCTGTAGCCCTAGCCTACTCTCGTGTGTACAGAGCCCTACTTCTCGTCGATCTCCGATGCTTATACCATCTTCATAGAAATCATGAACTTAGGCATAGCCAAATTGGTTTTGGCCACCATGTCTCTTTTTGTATTCAAGTTCGAATTTTCTCTATGAGCAATGGTGGATTTAGGATTCGAACTTTGGGAAGTCCCAGTATTAAAGTATAAGTTGTTTTAGATAGAAACGGTGCGCAAAGCTCACAAAAAAAGTTTCATTTTATTCACTGAGGCATGTCGTTAAACACTTGGTGAGCTTGTTATCATCAGACAAACCATGTTAAACACATATGAACAGATATTGACATATGTCGAAGAAATCCGATGAATGATATCGAGAGAATTTGTCAAGTGTTGTCGGGCAACCTATCGAGATATGCCTTGTAGACATTACATCAAACACTTGGTAGACACAAAATAGACCTGTACTAAACACTGGAAGAGTTCTTAAAAGACCTTTACATGTATATTTCCTGGACTCTGAGTGGTCCTGGGACCACCTTAGTCACAATGTACATCCACCCTTACCTGTAAATATAATATCGCTCAAACATATGCCGAACATTAAAAACCATCAATCACGGACCTCAAAAAGATAATAGAAACACTTCCAAGGACCCAAAATATACTTGCTATTTGAATAATGTAACAAATAATGACATGCTAAGATTCTTCTAAACCACATTTGCTCACACTACAATGATTACATATGGAGAAGAAAAGTGTTATGAATTCACCACACTCTACGGTATTGGAAAGGACTTAAAATGCTTAACTTGTGTGCATTTTTCTTTCCCTCCTTGATCTTCACACATTACGAATTGGAAGTTGCAGTCAGTTCACCGGTGTTAAGTGCCGGTGGTGCTGCTGCCCATGGCGGCCTGAGGAGGCTCTTCTCAGAGTATGCAAAGAGTTTTGATCCTCGAGGGCGAGGGAGGGCGAGGCTTGGACACTCCCATATGTACAACGGATGAATGTGGCAAGATGTAAACAAAAACTCAAGCGGATTGCGCCGTTTATCTGCTCTCCCATACGATTGGAGCAACTAGCATCTACAAAACACAAAATTTTCCTTTCAGTCATGACGAGATTTTTGTTAGAGCGCATTCAATTTTGTTTAGCGTTATATACTCACAATACACGCAGACCACGTTCCACTCGTTCACAATCCTCACCCAAGTGCTGGCCCATCCCACATCAATCGTAAACCTGCAGAATGAAGTGACTTTTTGAGCAAGCAAGAAAGAAAGGAGTTCAGTTTTAATTCACAAACAAGGTGGGGAAAAATACCTTCTCATGGATTGATGAGTATTCCAACCAATCAGCAGCATTGCAAAGTACATTGCTCCCGTGGCAAAAACAAATTGGAAGAATCCATAACCGTATGGAACATCATCCTTGGATTCAGTCGCGTCCTTCTTGAACTACAGATACTGTTAGGTGCATTCTAAAGGAAATATAGATGATTGATTAAAAGTTATTTAGATGGTAGAGCAAACCTGAAAGCATTTGGAATCTATGCCGGTTGAGAATGTTGCGATAACCATTGCAAGCACGGCTATAACAAAGCTCCGTCAACAAATAAGTCATTGTCACGATTTTGCGTAGGAGAAAAGAAATATCTGTGTGAAATATTAAGAAATATCTGGTTTGATGGAAGGACAGTACACTAAACATATAGCTGAATGATTGCAGCAGGAAGCAGAAAGGGAATGATGATTGGCAGACCACCATCAGGATTGCCACAAATCTCTGGGCTCATTCAACTTCGATGTGCCAGCAGTGGAAAGAAACATTGTGATATAAAACAACTGATGAGGTATTTACTAAGGTTTTACTTTACTTTGATCAATATGTAGAGAACTAGAAAAATCATATGAAAGTCCAAGAGTGATGTAGAAGAATCGATGTTTTTACAAGAAATTTGGAAAAGCATTTACTTCCTCGAATTCAGATGCATAAACAATAGTGAATAGTGTTGCCATTTTTTTTTAAAATCTTCACAAAATTTTGTATACTACACGATAAACCTTGTCTCATCAATTGAAATAATCCAGTTTAGGCCGAGCCATGATGAACAAAAAGAATAAAAGGATACAAAGCAACCCAAGCTTACACGTTGGACTCCTTCTGCACCCAAACAATCCTTCACACCATGACATCCTTTTAATCCTGCGCTCACAGCCAAAGGTTTTAGACATTCTGCACTAATAATGTGTTGATTAACACACTTGTTTAAGATGCTAATTGCGCTTATCGAATCTGTAACAATGTGTTCATAAGCAACTAGAGTAGAGGAGAGAATGCAAATCTTACTCTCCATCTCCGTCAACACATTGCTTCCGTAATCCCGGACACCCCATGCCATAAGATTTGCCATCAAAAACATGAATCCGTAGACATATCTGGCCATCCATGGATTCGAACCATTGTGAAATTGGCTGAACCATGAATCAACCTTGACTTTGACTCCACTCCTCTGATAGTTTCCTGCTGATCCACCCTCCTCCATTTCTACTCCATTCAACACTTCTTCAAGCTTTTTTCTTCATCAAACAGATTCAGACCAATGCAGCAAAAGAAAACCAGTGGGGCTTCTCTCTCTTACTGTCAGACTTTCTCTCTCTTCCTCTGTATAGTTGGGACAGAATCACATGCATTTCATAGGAGATCTATACGTACAGTTACCAAATAGTCAAAACTAACAAATTAAAATGATGGGCTCAAATCTGATTTGGTATTTAACAACATGGGTTGGGTTGGTGATAGAATCTGTCCGAGGAGACCAACTTACACCAGTGGTGAACATATTCTATGTAAGTTCTTCAATGCCGCAACCCAAAAAAAAGCAATCTTTTTCACAAAAAGTGACTTAAACCAAACTCATCTTCTATATATGACAAGATGTGCAAATAATTTTTTTTAGCTCGACATGTTTTTGATATCTCATCAATTGATGCACAAATAATTTGAAGCTTTGTTTATGTGTTAGTGCAGTTTCCTTCCTAGCAAGCTCCCCTACCAAATGCCCAGCCTCTATTCCCATCAGGTTTAATGCGCACGTCCAGCCTTGGTACTCCCTCATCAGCATGGATGCCCCTCCAGTCATCACCATATCCATCAGCGGTTCCTCACCAAGCACCACAATATACATCACAAATGCCTCCCCAAGCACCGCAATATACATCACAAATGCCTCCCCAGCCACCACAATATGCGTCACAAATGCCACCAAGTAATATCCATCAGCGGTTCTTCTACTTTACTAGCCGTCTTCATGGTTTCACAAATTTGGGTGTTATATACCCCGATTGGAACCTTAAAACTTTCTTTTGTGAATATATATATATATATATATATATATATTCAGTCACCTCAATATAAATATGCAAATGAAGATTTGAGAGAAATTTATGTATTTTGATGAGATAATTTGTTGATTGCGGTTTCCCTTAACTATTTGTCATACTTGTAGGTATCAAGGGGCAGGAGGCTTTGGCACCGGTGGGGCTTCTTTTGGTTCGTTAAATGTGGATCAACAGCTGGCAGGTGGGTTATCAGCGGCTGCTACCCCAAATCCATACGCTTCAGCAGCTCAGCTGGAGGAAATCCATTTGGGTGGATGAAAAAAACACAAGATGTCTCTAATTCCATTTAGGGTAAGCATCATCTTGCGGCTGCCGCGCCTCAAATTGCTGGATGGAAGGTTTTGGTTTCAATCTCCTCTGGTTTTTAAGTTATCAGATGCAGCCTAATGCGAGATTGTTTTATCGGATCATCACCGGGGGTTGGTCACAAGTGAAAAGGTCGACTTCCCCGTCATGTACAATTTGTTTGTTGTTTGTAAGAACGTGAGAGAGAGAGAGAGAGAGAGTATAGTTAAAAGGGGGATTTCGTTGTAGAGTATGATTTTGTTTTTGTTTTTATTTGCCTTCATAATTTTCGTAGTCTACTTTGTTGTATGATTTTGCAATCACATTATTATGTTGTGAGTTAATTGAGTCTAAGGAAGTTGGTGGAAACTGTTAACAACGATTTTACAAAAGGGTTCCCATGAAGTGGATGCAGAAAATATTAAAATGAGCATGTTTAGCTTCCAAAAAGATGATGACAGGGATTATGAAGGGAGAGGAGGAGGAGGAGGGAGGGTACGAGGAAGGGGACGGGGGAGGAGGATTTCATTGACTTTGTCATTTCTTTTATTCGCACGCTTTATTTTAGGTTGAAATTTGAAAGCATTTGAGAATTAACATGACAACAACCACATAATAAACAAAAGAGTTTTTTATCACATTGATGGGGTGAGTCGATTTCAACGACTATTTGTGACAAAAATCCTTTTGTATATTATATGGTTATTGCTAAGCTAATTCTCAAATACTTTCAAATTTCAACCTAAAATAATGCATTATTTATAGTTGAAATTGAATAGCTATATTCAACCTATACTCTTTGTATGTCATTTCATCTTCGTTTCTTTCCTCGTTTTCTCTATTCCATTGCACCTTCCTGGCCGGCCCGGTAGTATGTCGTTTCACATGTCCATACGAGAACATTATTATACTATAATCTTTTGTTTTTGTCGACTGAAGAAAGGTTGACTTGGGTTTAAGTATTTCAGAATCATCCGTTGGCATCACAAACACAACCACTACCATTTTTAAAGCGGTGATCTGAACCACTGCAGTGCCACAACGGTGGATACCGCCATGACAGCCCACAAAGCCTCCTCTTCATTCTCCTCCATTTCAAAACTTTGGAATCACGACGTGTTCTTGAGCTTCAGAGGCAAAGACACGCGCAATGGCTTCACGGGCCACCTCCACGCGGCTTTAGAAGACAGGGGATACCGGGCCTTTATGGATGACGATATAGAAAGAGGGGAAGAAATAAAAGAGGAACTGTTCCGGGCAATCGAAGAATCGAGGATCTCTATCATTGTCTTGTCAAAGAGGTATGCGGATTCTAGTTGGTGTCTTGACGAGCTGGTGAAGATCATGGAGTGCAGATCCAAACTGGGCCAACATGTTTTGCCAATATTCTATCATGTTGATCTTTCGCATGTTAGGTGGCAGGAGGGAGATTTAGCCGAAGCATTTCAGAAGCACGAAGAGGGCATCGGTGAAGAAAATGATGTCAAGAAAGAAAGGGTGAAGCAGTGGAGAGAGGCTCTTACAGAAGCTGCAAATTTGTCTGGCCACCATCTTCAAATCACTGACAATGGGTAATTATTCACCTGCTTTTCAAGATTTGAAACATATTAGCGAATGATTTAATCTCTCATATAATTAACATTTTACACAAGCTAAAACCTATACCGTAATTGGAGTTTAATTTATGAATGACTTCCTTTCTTTATATTCAAGTTCGTCACAAAATCACATACGAGCCAGTTAGTATATATATATGAAGGAAAGAAAATTGTTTATGTATTGGTAGCTCCTACTGAGCTTTCATTGAGTCCTACTAATGCTTACGATTCAATTTTTAGGCGCGAAGCAAAGCTTATTAGAGAAATTGTTGACGAGATTATTAAGGAATGGCTTCCGAGCGTAGACAAATTACATGTGGCCAAGCACCAAGTTGGAATCAATTCTCGCATTCAGAATATTATCACTTATCTTTCAAGTGGTGGATCAAATGATGTTGTCATGGTTGGGATTTGGGGGATGGGTGGATTGGGTAAAACAACAGTTGCCAAAGCCATTTATAACCAAATTCATTCCAAGTTTGAATTCAAAAGTTTCCTTGCCGACGTTAGCAACAATACAAGTAAACATGGTTTGGTTGATTTGCAAGGAAAACTTATTTCTGACATCTTGAAATAGAAGACTCAAATAAGCAGTGTTGATGAAGGTATCAGTCTGATTAAACATCATCTCCGACGTAGAAAGGTACTTGTCATCATGGACAATATAGACGAAGTGGAACAACTGGATGCAATAACTGGAAATCGCGATTGGTTTGGTCCAGGGAGCAGAATTATCATAATGACACGAGATGAACATTTACTAAAGCAAGTGGACAAGACATATATGGCTTAGGAAATGAATGAAGAAGAAGCTCTTGAGCTTTTTATTTGGCATGCATTTGAAAATAGTTGGCCTAATGAAGGATATCTTGAACTCTCAAAAGAAGTTGTTTCTTACTGTGGAGGTTTGCAGCTAGCACTTCAAATTTTAGGTTCTTTTTTTATTAAAAGAACCATAGGAGAGTGGGAAAGTCAATTGGAGAAATTGGAAAGAACTCCTCATGGAAAAATAATAAAACCACTAAGAATAAGCTTTGAAGGGCTAGATGATACACAGAATGCCATATTCCTTGACATATCTTGTTTCTTTATTGGATGGAATAAGGACTATGTCACAAAAGATGCATGTGGATTTTTTGCAACAATAGGAATTAGTGTCCTTCGTGAACGATGCCTTGTAACTGTTGAACGCAACGAGTTGAATGTGCATGATTTGCTTTGAGAAATGGCCAATGTAATCATTTTTGAAAAATTCCCTGGCCATCCTGAAAAATGGAGTAGGTTGTGGAATCCTCAAGATGTCACCAATATATTGACAAATAAATCTGTAAGTACATTCCCAATACAATTTTGAATTAATACATGTATAAACCACGTACGTCTATTATACATTAAACATCATTCATGTGTATCTGTAGATGCACAAGGAGAGCTCCATTAGCCAACAATAGAACTTGCATACATTCACCCACGTGATTTTGCCTAATGAATAATACTTCATTCCCTCACTTGCAAATTTCATAAACGAAGATCGTTTAGTCAAATATATCAAATAAATCAACGGTGTAGGTACCAAGTTACATATTAATGATGAATTGTCTATTTATTTAATAAATTTGAATGACTAAATTAAACAATCCTCGATTGAAATGATGTTTTTGTAAGGATGATATTCAAATGAAGATTAAGAAATTGAACGGTTCTAAATATGAAAATTATATGATGTTCAAAAGGGGAACATGAAAAATTGAAATTTGTATGGTATGGTTGTAGATTATTGAATTAATTAAGTGTCAATTAACGGGCTTATTTCTTATTTGTGACACATCATTTGGTTTGCAAATTGGTTAAAAAATTTAATGTCCTAGCATTACTTTTCTAAATATGGGGTTTTAACGAAAAGCTCATGGTACTATTCACTTTAACAAAAAACCACATTTTTACACTAAAAAGTCAATTCTGGTACTATTCACTTTACCTTTTATTTTATCCTTATCATTAAAACTCAAAGTTTTCAAACCCTTTTCATTAGTTTTTCTTTCTAAATATGAAATATGAAGTTTGTATGATTTTTTTGTAAGTAGAACTAAAAAAAAAAAAAAAAAAAAAAAAAAAAAAAAAAACAGGGAACTAGGAAAATTGAAGCATTAAATCTAGATTTGCAAAGCTCTGATACGGCTAGTTTCAGTACAGTAGCATTTGCCAAAATGAAGAAACTGAGATTGCTTAAGCTCTGCTACGTAGAGCTCAATGGAGAATACAAATATCTTCCTAAAGAGTTAATATGGTTGTGCTGGAAAGGATGTCCTTTAAAGTCCATACCAGATGGTTTTTTTAATCAACCAAGACTAGCTGTTCTAGACATGCAGTGGAGTAAACTGGTACAAGTTTGGGAGGGTTCCAAGGTACAGTCAATTACACATGATGATGGTCTGTTTCTATTTGTTTTTGGATTTCCTTCTCTCTTTTTATGATAACTTCTTTTTCGATATTAATTTCAATTTTTCTTTGGTTTTGTGCCACAGTCGCTGAAGTTGAAAATCATTAATCTCAGTTACTCCTGTTCCCTAATTAAATCGCCTGACTTTTCAGAGCTCCCAAATCTTGAAGAGTTAATACTGGAAGGCTATGAGAGTTTGTCCGAGATTCACCCCTCCATTGGCCATCTTAAAAGACTCTCTTTGGTAAACCTTAGAAACTGTTGCAGTCTTATTTCTCTTCCGAGGGATTTCTATAAGTCGAAATCTGTTGAGATTCTTCATCTTAATTTCTGTGATAAATTCAGAGAACTGCATGAGGATTTAGGGGAGATGATATCATTGAGAATACTTGAAGTAGATAGTACATCCATAAGACACATAACATCTGCCATATTAAGATTGAAGAATCTCACTCGTTTATTCCTAACAAATGTGAAAAAAAATCGTTTGCCCGATTTGTTACACGGCTCAAACTCTTTAAGGGATGTGGATCTCGCATGGTGCAGTTTACTTGATGAAATCCAGAAGGATCTCTGGAGTCTAAGTTCCTTACAATACTTGTATCTTCGTGAGAATGATTTTCATACCCTACCCAGCCTCAACGGTCTTTCTAAGCTTGAAATATTATGGTTGACTGCATGCAAAAACCTTCATACAATCTTGGGATTACCAACAAGTTTGAGATCTCTATATGCCGTTGATTGCCCTGCATTGGAAACAATGCCGGATTTTTTAGAAATGTCAAATATGAGAAAACTGAATGTAAGTGATTCACTCAAACTCACTGAGGTTCCAGGCTTGGATAAGTCATTAAATTCCATGGCAAGGATTGATATGCAAGGGTGCACTAATCTCACGGTTGATTTTAAGAAGAACATCTTACAGGTATATCTCTCTCTCATTGCCTTCCTATCATGCACATGCACACACAAACACACATGTATATATATGACACTTGCATTGTATATATAGGGATGGACTTGTTGCGGATTTGGTGGTATTTTTCTCCCTGGGAATTATGTTCCCGATTGGTTTGAGTTTGTCAATGATGGCAGTAAAGTCAGTTTTAATATTCTCCTGAACGATGGTCGTAATTTTGAAGAGCTGACTCTATTATGCTCGTACTCATGCAATATATTAGTTCATCCTCCTACAGTTGTCATTACTGTTATAAATAATACCAAACGTACTGAGTTACGGACCAGCATAGTCAAAGAACATCGGAATAGAATATTCTACAAACCTGAATCCCATCATATTTGGCAGGGACAATTATCGAACGATAAGCTCAGTTTGCAAGGCGGGGATAGAGTTGAAGTTGATATAAATTTAGTGGGATCTTATACCCTTACTTTTGCTTCTTTTACATTGAATAGAATAGGGGTTAATCTAGAATGGGACAAACCTATGAAGGAAATTGTGCGTAATTTGGACAAAGCTGGTTATGTTTTTGACCCACATCCAGCTAGGTTCTATGGTGAGGCACAATCAAGGTGGTGATGCATCATCATCATCACGCTTATCATCACATATCTACGCCATATCATAGTCAGTTCATCAAACAACTCTTTTGTTTTTAGCTTTCCCGATTCGATAATGAAGACCAGTACATATTTCCTACTTACTTCAGATTCCTATGAATTTTTTCAATTAGTTGTTTTGAATTTTGGAGATATATTGCATCTAGAAACATTTCAACATTACAACAAGCCATATAAGACATTCATCCAAATATTTGACAAATACTACTTGAATTCGCAAAAATACTAGCCCTGCTTCCACCACATATTCCAGGAATTTACTTTTAAGGTTAGAAAATCATTGATAACCTCAAGATGCCAGTCAATATATGGTTTCCACTACTTTTTCATTAATCCTGACTTGCCCTGACATGTTAGCATTAGGTTTGAATTACCTTTTCTACTACCTTTGCAGTCGATGAACTCGTTTGCACAATCAAAAAATAGCTAGTATTCTATTGGATTCCCCAAAACTGTAGATGAAATTGTTTGTAAGATCGTAGAGTTTTTCCTGTTATGATTAAAAAACTCGTTTTCAAGACTCGGAAATGATGGACAGCTCAATAGAATATCTTGTAAATTTTCTCCACTTCCCTTCCACTCTGACTGATGTGTTCATAAGCTTCTACTACAGTTTCTGCTAGTGATGGTGCCCTCGCAATTTTGTATGTTAATACGATCATCGATCGACCGAGTGGAGATTATTTTCCGATACGTGATTTTACGGATTTGCCTATGGTTCTTAATTTCCAGTAATGTTCCAGCTTCAGGCTTTTCTTTTGGCTTCTTGGTTTCCAAGTTACAAAGCTTCAAATTTAGGTGGACAAATATTATTTGGTTTTTCCGTTAATTAATTGGTAATTAAAAGCATCGTTTTGCGGACTCGTAGAGAAGAACTGTAGAACAATTTATATAGCATAAGTACACTATTATGATATGCCATACGAATATACATTTAGAGGAGTTTACACATGTATCATTGGCATAGGATATTACTTTAATAGTGTACTCATACAATGTAAGTCTGAAGTTAGAATAGATAATTAAGACCTCAACTGCATACGGACCAGTTGGCAATTTGCTATTACTTTTGAATGACACAAACGACCTCTTGGGGTCAATTCGTGAAGAGCAGCTGTAGCCCTAGCCTGCTTTGATGTGTACAGAGCACTTCTCGTCGATCTCCGATGCGTATACGATCTTCATAGAAATTAGGCGTAGCCATATTGGTTTAGGACATCGTGTATCTTTTTTAACTCAAGTTTGAATCTTCTCTCTGTAAGCAATGACAGATTTAGATTTGAACTTTGTAGGATCCCAATGTTAAAGTAGAAGTTTTTTAGATAAAAAAAGAGCACAAAGCGCGCAAAAATTGTTTCAGTTTATTCATTGAGGCATTTTGTCGTCAAACAAACTATGTTGTACACATGTCAACAGATATCAACATATGTAGAAAAAAGTCGATGAGTGATATCAAGAGAATTTGTAGAGTGTTGTCGACGCAACTTATCAAGATAATGCCTAGCAGATATTAGATCAAACACCTAATAGACACAAAAGAGACCTATACTAAACATTTGGAGAGTCCTCAAAAAACATTCACACGTATATTTCTCGAACTCTGAGTGATCCTAGGACCACCTTGATCCCAATGTACATCTGTATTGCCTGTAAGTATAATATCACTCGAACATATGCCAAATATTTAAACCACCAATCACAAACCTCAAAAAGATAATAGAAACACTTCCAAGGACCCACAATATATTTGCTATTTCAATAATGTAACAAATAATGACATGCTAAGATTCTTCTAAACCACATTTGCTCACACTACAATGATTACATACGGAGAAGAAAGTGTTATGAATTCACAACACTCTATGGTACTGGATAGGAAGACTTAAAATGCTTAACTGGTGTGTATTTTTCTTTCCCCCCTTAATCTTCACACATTACGAACCAGAAGTTGCAGTCAGTTCACCGGTGTTAAGTGCCAGCAGCGCTGCTGCCCATGGCAGGCCTGAGGAGGCTCTTCTCGAGAATGCAAAGAGTTTCGATCCTTGAGGGCGAGGCTTGGACACTCCCATATCTACAACGGATGAATGTGGCAAGATGTAAACATAAACTTAAGCGGATTGCGCCGTTTGTCTGCTCTCCAATATGATTGGAGCAACTAGCATCCATACTGCAAAACAAAAAATTTCCTTTCAGTCATAACGAGATTTTCGTTAGAGCGCATTCAATTTTGTTTAGCGTTATATACTCACAATACACGCAGACCGCGATCCACTCGTTCACAATCCTCACCCAAGTGCTGGCCCATCCCACATCAATCGTAAACCTGCAGAATGAAGTGACTTGTTGAGCAAGCAAGAAAGAATGGAGTTCAGTTTTAATTCACAAAGAAGGTGGTGAAAAATACCTTCTCATGGATTGATGAGTATTCCAACCAATCAGCAGCATTCCAAAGTACATTGCTCCCGTGGCGAAAACAAAATGGAAGAATCCATAACCGTATGGAACATCATCCTCGGATTCAGTCTCGTCCTTCCTGAACTGCAGAAGATGTCAGGCGCATTCTAAAGGAAATATAGATGATTGATTAAAAGTTATTCAGACGGTAGAGCAAACCTGAAAGCATTTGGAATCTATGCCGGTTGAGAATGTTGCAATAACCATTGCAAGCACGGCTATAACAAAGCTCTGTCAACAAATAAGTCATTGTCATGATTTCGTGTAGAGAAAAGAGATATCTGTGTGTAATATTAAGAGCAGAGTATTACTATGATGGTGAGCCAATCTGTTTTGGTTGAATCATCTGCCTTCTTGTTGCAGCTTGTCCCCGCTGGCTCGCTGCACTCGAAAGCAACAATTATGGATCAACGGAATTCGCAAATATACCAGAGTCACACGTTTAGATTTTCATTCGAAGCTAGTAATCAACTGGATGGTTGATTTTGAAAGATTATGCAGCAATGCCAGATAACATCTGCAAAATCTCAAATTGCACTAACGGAAGGTGGTTCACACAGAAGAGACTTAAAACCGTACCTTCTAATAGCAAACCAGCAGATGAATACTATATAAAGCCCCATGAGACCCGGAGTCAAGATGCCGGCATTCACCTGTTCCGGGTGGAAATTAACAAGCAAAATCACATTAAAACAAGGCTGAAGCCCCGAATGCAGGGTTATTAGCGGAGCTTACATTCGGGTGGAGAGAGACGCTGGTCATGAGTTGTAGGAGTACTAATGTCCAGGTTATGAAGAAGATGTTGAGGAGGCAAGTTGGTTCTGGTGCATACCATATGTACATCAATATGATCCCCACTAAGCATACAACATATGCAGCAGTTGCAAGTAACATCACATGAATCCGGCTGCAGTGCAAACCTAAAGTTAAATCAGCCCGAGTAACGCTATGGCAAGTAGCTACATCGAAGTTGTTTCCAAAGTCTACAAAACATGGCGACCTGATTTAGCTTGAAAAAAGTCTTACCATCTTTCTGATTTGGTAGACTGACAACTATCGTTCAGCCACGTTATGAAACTGATTATGCTTATTAGCTGAATCAAGAGAAAAACCCTGAAAAAACAATCCCAAAACTTGTTAAAAGAATACCCAAGAAAAACATTTCGAAAGGGGAAAAGAAAGTACATAGCGAATAAATGTAACAGCATCGAATCATACCCGGCACCAAAATGCGCAATCTCTCCTGCAAAAAGATTTGTATCAGATGGACGAAAAGAAAGTGCAATTTAAAAGCGGAAAAAAAGAAAGAAAAAGAAAACAGTTTTGGTTTGATGGAATGCCAGTACACTAACCATATAGCTGAATGATTGTAGCAGGAAGCAGAAAGGGAATGATGATGAAGGAAATCCACATGACAATCTTGGCAGACCACCATCCGGATTGCCACGAATCTCTGGGTTCGTTCAACTTCGATGTGCCAGCAGTGGAAAGAAACATTGTGATATAAAACAACTGATGAAGTATATATTAAGGTTTTACTTTACTTTGATCAACACGTAGAGAACTAGAAAAATCATATGAAAATCCAAGAGTGATGCAGAAGAATCAATGTTTTTACAAGAAATTTGGAAAAGCATTCACTTCCTCGAATTCAGATGCATAAACAATAGTGAATAGTGTTGCCATTTTTTAAAAATCTTCACGGAATTTTGTGTACTACACGATAAACCTCGTCTCATCAATCGAAATAGTCTAGTTCAGGCCGAGCCACGAAAAACAAAACAGAAAAAAAGGATACAAAGCAACCCAAGCTTACACGTAGGACTCCTTCTGCACCCAAACAATCCTTCACACCATGACATCCTTTTAATCCTGCACTCACCGCCAAAGGTTTTAAACATTCTGCACTAATAATGTGTTGATTAACACACTCGTTTAAGATGCTAATCGCGTTTATCGAATCTATAACAATGTGTTCATAAGCAAGTAGAGTAGAGGAGAGAAAGCAAATCTTACTCTCCATCTCCGTCAACATATTGCTTCCGTAATCCCGGACACCCCATGCCATAAGATTTGCTATCAAAAACATGAATCCGTAGACATATCTGGCCATCCAAGGATTCGAGCCATTGCGAAATTGGCTGAACCATGAATCAACCTTGACTTTGAGTCCACTCCTCCGATAGTTTCCTGCTGATCCACCCTCCTCCATTTCTACTCCATTCAACACTTCTTTAAGCTTTTTTCTTCATCAAACAGATTCAGACCAATGCAGCAAAAGAAAACCAGTGGGGCTTCTCTCTCTAAGTGTCAGACTTTCTCTCTCTTCCCCTGCATAGGTGGGACAGAATCACATGCATTTCATAGGAGATTTATACGTACAGTTACCAAATAGTCAAAACTAACAAATTAAAATGATTGGCTCAAATCTGATTTGGTATTTAACAACATGGGTTGGGTTGGTGATAGAATATGTCCGAGCAAACCAACTTACACTGGCGGTGAATCTATTCTATATAAGTTTCTTCTACTGCCGCAACCCAAAAAAATGCATTCTTTTTCACAAAAAGTGACAAACCAAACCCATCTTCTATATATGACAAGATGTGCACCAAAATGTATTCTTATTCCCAAAAATATGCGAAGGGTATGCAAATCTTTTTAATTTTGGGCAAAACCCATCTTCTATATTTAGCTGAAAGGTGAACCAAAATAACGAATGACTATCCTGCCATACTTTTGTCGGTCAAAATTTTCTGCCCAAAAGAAGGAACTTTGGGCGCAAAGTAGGTAAATAAAACAGTCAAAGGAGTCAAATTTCATGCAATGGATGTCGACTTTGTTAAGAAAAAAAACAAAAAAACAAAAGGTAGTGTTATCGACATACTGTTTTTTATCTTTAACAACCCTCTCAATATTCGGCTGTTTAATTAAAAAAAAAAAAGAGAATTAAAGGACATAAATTGATAAGAAGTGTGTCAAAAGGTAAAAAAGCGTGTGTGGATGACACTACTTGAAACAAAAGTGGGATAGAGCATTATCCTTGAGGTGGTGGTTAACTTGGTTTGCACATGGAAATAAAACATTCTCAAGATCTCAAAGAAAAAGATCACCACAATAACTCGGATGCTTTTCGGTTGGGTGGGTTATAACGACAGAAACGTGCATTGTACGACAACATCACTACCATTGTTGATGATAGAGAGCTAAGCATATTGTTGAACCATTCTAATTACGACGGTCACACTGTCACGTATTGTTATTAATATACGTGTTATAATATAAATGAACAGTAACAAACATAATTAAATTATCAACGATTTAAAATATATGTTATAAAACAAGTAAATTAATAACTCTGCGTGATAATGTGACAATCGTATTGAAATATCGTATCACGTTCTCTCCTAACTTTTGGAGCTTGACTAGAATCAAATGCAGTAGAATAAGCAGTATGCCAAATGGATCTACTTGAGAGTTCTAGAGCACAATGGTGGGACCCACTCAAGTGCACACATTTGACAGAAAAATTCCACTTCCTGGGGAGGATGACGTGGTAGTCCACAGCTCCAAGGCCAAGCTTTCAGATTTTTATTTTTTATTTAATTTTTATTGTTTTATATTATTAATTAGGAGAGCATTTCTTCAACTGCAAGCGTGCTCCGTGCCTGAAAATCTTCCACCGAATTCTGCAATTTTGCTCTTAGGACGATTATACCCTCAAATTCTGTACATTTTTTTGGTAAATTTATGCTAAAGAAATAGCTACTTATGGAGAGTTATGTTTTGGTACTAGATGGGTCAACTCGTAATTTGACTCTGCATGACTAATCTTATATAAATCTGCACATTTTTTGCTTTAGCCTGTCTCCAAAGAGCACAATAGGAAGACAATCCAAGAAGGTAAAGTAGAAAAAAGGCCAGGAAAAAAATATAATTAAAGGAGGACGCCAACTCAAGAGCTTCCTACTTTGTGAGGATTGCGGGAAGTTTTACTGTAAATTTTTTTTCACAATTCGAATCCGTAATTTTTATATCATAAAGGAATAACATATCTGTTGCGTCAATGCTCGCTTTCAAAAAATATATATATAATTATTAAGAAAAAAATTACTTTACTCTTTGCTGGGTCGTTGAGAAAAATGACAAACAAGACAAAGATTAGTGAAAATATGTCTAATGTAAATATTTGTATGATTATATGTATATGCTTCAATTTCGTTTTCCTTCGGTTTCTCAGCAACCAAATACAAAATCCAGCATTTGAGCCTTCTGATCACCGGAACAGTTTTAAAACTTGGAAGGGGTTCTCAGTTCTATTGCAATTATATGAACAAAGAAAAAAATGTAATGAAAGAATCAAAATTTTGGATTTTGAGCAGAAACGAACAGAACCCAGATAAATATCAACTCCAACACACAGAAAGATCCAATTTTTACCATCTAAAATTCAAAGAAAAAAAACTGAAAATAAATAAATGTCGATCAAAAAAACTGTAGAAATTAAAGATTATTGAATGAAAGAGAGTACCTGAGAGATGAAGTGGCAAATGGGCAATGCACAAATGGAGGAATCAAGCAGTGAGTTGGGAGCTTCGAGAGTCTCTCTCTCTCTCTAAACCTCTGAGAGCCTGAGACTCTCTCTCTCTCTCTAACAGTTTCTCTCTCTATGTCTCAGATTTTTTACGACAAAACACAAAGAGAGAGGCAGCTCTGTTATATTTGTTTTAGGAGAGAGAGAGGAGAGAGAGATTGCTTTGAGGAGGTTTTTGCTTTGCTTTGGGACGTTTGCTTTTTCTTCCTTTTTCCCGCCGTAAGCTTACTGTCTCCGCTTCTCGTCGTTTCTTTCAAGGTTTATTTTACTATTATTTTACGGTTTTTACCTAATCAATCAAATTATTATGCATTAATCCCAAAATTAAAGGGAGAGTAAATTGTCAAATCTAAATTAAACGACAAAAAATTATAATGATTGGTGATGGTGATATGTAAATGCACTCTGCATGATTATTTGTTGCTTATGTGAAGCCGGTTAATGCGGAAAACAAACAAAACAACCCAACAAAATAAGCAAGGTTAAGACAAAGAAACAAACCAAGAACTAACGTACTTCCGCTATGTGTTTCGTCCACGGAGCAACAACAATCGAAAAGTTCAAGTATCTTAAAGCACACTTTGCTTTTCAGTATTCTCTCACTCTAACTCCTTGAAATGTAGTAATCACTTTTCTTTTTGCTCATTGGTACATGTAAACAAACGCAACAACTCTTCTTGTATATGTACGATAGTGGGCTTCCTCGTGAATTGGGAAATCTAATATAAATTGGAATTTGATGCGAGTACAAATGGATTCATTTTTTTTTAGGAAGAAATGAAATTGTATTGATAAAACTTGATTACAACTAAAAGAGAAAACCAGCTCTCATGATTCATGTCCTCGAATATTATTAGGCGTGATAAGCTTTGGGGAAACTAATGATGGACAAAATAACCCAACAACCTCACGCCAAAATTAGTATTTGATACATGCTTAACATAAACATGTTTTTTTTTAAGTAATGATAATGGAGGCCACGATGCTATGATATCAGCTTTACATTTTAAATGAAACCATATGTTATTTTCGTCTATACGTATGTTGCGTAGAAATCCATCCTCATAAATCCTCTCTCTGGAATAACAACAAACTCACAACATTTTAATTTATTTTAATTTTTTATAATGGTCTAACTAAATGTTTTGTTCGGCATGTGGTCACACGAAAAATGCTAGATTCAAAATAAGGATATCTAAGGTACAATAGGGTAGACCGCTATTGAAGATAAGATGAAGGAAAATTAGTTAAGGTGATTTGAACATGTGAATAGAAGACCTACAAATTATTCGATTAGAGGATGCGACTATAAGATAGAGGCTAGGCAAAATAAGCAGTGGAATGCTTGGTTGTTGTTGTTGTACTCTAACCAAAAAGAAAATATGAGTAAATTGTAGCAATTGTCCTTCCACTCAAAATCCATTACCATTGATCCCTCAACCCATCAAAATGTGTAGCTATATCCCTTTTCATCAACTTCGTCAAAATTTTGTCAAAATGAGTTATGTTGGAATAATTATTGCTACAATTAGGGTCTCTTAACTCACGAACATGTAGCTATGGTTCTTTTCGTCAACTTCGTCAGAATTTTGTCAAAACGAGTTATGTTGGAAGGACCATTGCTACAATTGGGTTAAAGTTGAGGGACCATAGCTGCACGTTTTGATGAGTTGAGGGACCAATGATAATAAATTTTTAGTTGAGGGACCATTGCTCCAATTGAGTTAAAGTTAATGGACTATTGCTACAATTTACTCAAAAGAATATTGTTGATTATATTAGTCACAAATCACAATTATTATAAGTTACACTAACGAGCGATTGAAGGTTCGAACTAAAACCCAATGAGTTGAAGAGAAAATCTTATCTATCCGGACAATTTATTCCTTGTTCATATTTTTTTGTTACACTAATTAATCACACAGCTTGCACATATATAAAACCCATATGAAAAAATACAAATAAAATCAATATATATATATATATATATAATTTCAACTCAATAATATATTTTGAGGTCATTTGACGTCACTTAATTTAGATACAAACACGAGACGTCAAGTGCAAGAATGAATACTCTTATCCAATCGAATTAAATCAATCGCATTGCAAGGGTTTGATAATCACCAATTAATCTTTTTTCCTAATAATCTTGTCATCGTCAAATTAAACATCTACTAAACTAATATGGACAAGTCAAAATTTGCGGATCAGACGGTCGATAATATCTAATAGAATATAGAGATGAATTACAAATTGTTTTTATTGTTTTTATTTTTTTCCATGACAGATGAATATTATAAAATTCACTTTTCTATTCGGCGGAGCTCCATAATATAAAATATAAAGAGAACAAATTAAAAATATATATATATATAATTAATTAAAAGGATAAAAGAAAAAGAAGAAAAAAGAAATGGGGAAGAGACAAATTAAAGAGGGAAATGATCCCGTGATTTCATTCGTTTATCGTATATCGTGCGATCAGATATTATTTTAAAATTTAAAATTTAAAATTAAATATGAATAGTACATAACAAAAACTGATCGCACAATATACGATGAACGGATAGTATCAAGAAATCCCTAAGAAAGGAATCCGGCGAGGATCCTTTTCCAATTAAAGAAGGGATTTCTCATGCAGTTTCTGACTGCAACGTTCTTCTTTCATGTATGGATCCCTGTATGCACGTGCTCCTAACTTGAAACACCATTCACAAGATGGCTTTTATTCATTTTTCTTCAGAAAATAAAATGATAAGACAGTGTCCACGATTACAACCAATTTCAATACAATTAAATTAATTTTTTTTCTATCTCAAATTTGAAAATTACTAAAACTAAAACTAGTGATATGCATTCGGTCAGAAGTTTGAGTCCGTAAGCATATGATTTCAAGAGATGGAGTCAAAGAAAGTCGTTGACCGCTCAATGTTTTTGTATGATGTTTTCAATCTCCAAGGAGTTGAGCAGGAGCCTTTAATTGGATCAATTACTAATTTGGAATCGACTTCAACACACTCGTTCTTGTAACCATTTTCTCTACATAAAAGTTTTGAGTATTTTGGTTACAAAAGTTTTGTGAAGCCCAAAAGAAAAAATTCCAAACAATTTGTATGCTAGTGCAATGAAGCCCAAAGCTTTTCCATCACCATGGTTTTTGGCCCACATCCATTGCTCTTGGTTTTATGATAATTTCCCAGCCCATTGAATCCCTTAGGCCCGTTTTCGTAAATGATGGCAAAAGCCCAACTTCATTTTTTGAAATTAATTTTAGTAGAAAGTTGTTAAGGGTAAGGAGAAAGGAAGACTAATGAAAAAGATTTGGAAAACTTCGAGTTTTAATGAAAATGACAAAAATGTATTGTAAGTGAATAGTATCAGGATTGACTTTTTAGAGTAAAAATATGGTTTTTCGTTAAAATGAACAGTACCAAGAGTATTTCGTTAAAACTCCTAAAGGAGAATTGCTAGATATTGAAACCCCCACCAGAATCGACATGCATGAATACGTTTCTCCATTGCGTTAAAGCGTCATGTGCTAATTTTTATTACTTAGCAGGGAGCGAGATTTCGAAGTTAAGACGACACAACGAAAGTAAATGATATTCATAACCTGCAACATTCAATTATTGAGCCAGTTCTATTGTACGAAGCTAAATTAATAAGCCAGCTTCTTAAAATTAATTTTAATAAAAATGACTGTCAACTTTTTTTTTTTCCTTAAATAAAGAGACTAGTTGATGATTTCGTTACAGCAATCTACTTTTTTTAGAGGTCGGAAAACTCATAAAGACATTTCAACTTCTTCCTGATCACCATCGTGTGATTTATCAGTGTCAGGAATTCATCCCAACTACTGAACCATCCTGTAGTGGTTGACTCGTTGACTTTTATAATGTAAGACATGTTTTGTGGAAGTGGTTCCAAGCTAATCAAAATATCCACTAAATTAAGTAGACGATGCACACCATCAATTGCCTGCAATTTGCCGCCATTTACAAATATATTGTTTCCCAAATGCCCTTTTTAAAAGCAATCAAATTTTTTATTAGGAAGAAATAAAAAAGCCGTATATATTAAAATTATTATATGATGTAATGTTCATATGCTAATGGCACCCATGTTATGTTTCCTTTTTACTTTTTCTTTGTTAATCCCTTTTGTTTGTATGCATATGTGAATGTTGCTTTTGTACCATCAAACTAATGGATTTATTAATACAAAATGATGAAAGCCTAAAAAGGAGCAGAACACCGCCACATGAGCCTTAGATATAAAGGAAAATTATTGAAAATAACTTGAAAATTTTAAGTTTTAATTATAAGGACAAAATAAAGGGCAAAGTAAATAGTATCAGAATTGACTTTTTAGTGTAAAAATATGGTTTTTTGTTAAAATAAACATTACCCGGAGCTTTTCGTCAAAGTTCCCTAGATATAATTACTACTAAAGTTTCTTTGATATGGTCGATCTTTCCGTAAAATTTAAAAAATTAGAGAAAGATATAGAATGGGAATGAAGTTAGAAACTCTTAATTTCGGGTAAAATCAACAGATTTTATCAATATATCTGACTTGTTGGTTAAATATTGAAGAAACTCTTGTATTTCGTCTAAACCAGTGGTTGACATTCTCTAAAGTTTCATTTAAAATTTCCACATTCTTGACCCAATTTTTATCATTTCCATCAAATGCAACCGATATTGATATATTCACCAATATTTCTATAAATCTGCATATCGATATTTTTTTAAGTTTGCATATCGATATTTCCACCTACGTTGATATTTTAATCACTGTTAAAGACAAATAACACTAATTCAATAGCATTTAGTCAACATTACTAAAAGATGAAGAAGTACACTATGATTATTTTGAAGTGCAAACGTAAATTACCCGATGCCATTTATACGTATGACCTAATCACAGGCTGTCGAAAGAGGCCCAATATTAAATGGCAGTTATGTCCTATTTCTGGTAAGAAAACAAGTCAACTAACTTATTAAATTAATCAATTTTCCAAATTTTTTCGTGATAAAAATGACAGTGAAAAAAGTGCTAACATCCCATGTGGGGGGGTTTATCGAACGAGGCCCCACTTCCACTGAACGTTACATCACCATCACTTGATTGGATATCTTTGCACCTTGTTTTCCACAGAGGACTAGAAAACTACATGTGGAATGAATTGAGATGTTCTTCGGATTTTTATGTCTGGATCTTCAATATTTTGATATTTGAGCTGTTGAAGAGAGAGGGATTCGAACCCTTAATTTGTGTGGGATGAACAAATAAAATGGGTTAATGGGGCAACAAAATTTAAAATGAGTGGTTCGGATTCTTGATAGTACTTCTTAAAGAAGCACTTGACTATGCCAAATTTAATAAAGTCTTTTTTACCGTTAAAATACACTTTTAGCCATTTCAGAAGTAAATCTCAAAAAATATGGTATGAGTTTTGGAATGTCATTTTCAAGGGAAAGTGATTTTCACAAACTTATTATCGCTTCTCAGACACTTCTCTTTATTTATAGTCATCTAATTGAATAAATCAAATCGAATTAACGACTAGTATTAAACAGTAGTGAATAAAATGATAAAAGGGTGTGTGAAAATTAGTTCCCTTTCAAAATGCAAGGGCAGCATCTTCTTCTTCACATACACAAATGAAAGCTAATTGCCAAATATTAGGGGGCGAGTTGTACTGGCAGGGTCTAGAAACGAATTATTAGTTTGCAACCGGATCCCCTCCTGAGCATAGGGTGGGATCCTCCTGACCAGTCCATCTGGGTCCTTGAAATTTAATCTAACGGTTACAAACAGAGGGTTCTCTAAAAGTTATAATTATTGTAACCGTTAAATCAAATTTCAAGTTATAATGACTGGTCAGAGAATCCCACCCTATGCTCATGAGGGATCCGGTTCCTATTAGTTTGGCTCGATTTGGTACTGCATGGACTTAAAGTTTAAAGGGAAGCAATGAAAGACAGGCCGCTGTGGAACAATTTACAGCACATGAGAAGTTGGCCGTTTGGTTATCTCCATCAAGTGCTCCTATTTATGTCAATGTCCATTTGTCCATCCAACCATCAGAGAGAGAGAGAGAGAGAGAGAATATATGCCCTATGCGGCGCTGCGGCAACCTTGCCTAATAATCTCTTCGTCCAAGATGGAGTCGAGAAAAACTTGGGTAGGACTTCCTTACCACGTGACGGAATGTGTGTGGTAGGCATTGTCCACCCAAACGTGGCAAACGTTATTGGCAGTGCCTGCCGCTCATCGTGCCACGAAGAGTCTGCACCAAAATGTTTCTCTATTGAATCTTTGATCGACGATAACCGAGCAGGTCGGGACCGAGACCCGACCAACTACCCCCGTCCCCGAGAGACAGAGATCCGGTCCAGGATTCAGGTAAAAAAAGTGAGGGACAAAAAAACAGAAAGGAGCTAAGAAAGGTGAAGTTACAAGTTACAACAGGAAAGGAGAAAGAGGATTTGCTCAAGATTTTGAAAGAGAAAAAGAGTAAAGCATTAGTGACAACAGTCAACACCGACAAACACCAATTCGTGATGATGAAGGAATTCAGTAGTAAAAAGACAGAAAAGGATCCGGATGGATAGTCTCCGGATTCCTTTGATATGGATCTTCATGATCTTTTAATTGTGTCTATTCAATCGAATATCGAAGGGTCAGGAATCAATCGACTTTTTTTTTTTTTTTGTTTGCTTTTTTCCGGTTCCAGTTTTGGACCACGGAGGCCAAAAGACGACAACTTGGCATGGTGGGTCGGCAGTCGGAGCCAGCACCCATCAAAGAACGCATACAATTGAAGGATTTGGAGGATCCGGATAGAAGAGATCAGGAGAGAATCCCGACCCTAAAAAATGGCCCATTTCAAAGCCTTTTTTTCATGATCAAAAGCATGAAATGTTTCAAATTCCAATGGAGGAAGAATTGAGGAAGTGTGAGGGTGAAGGAATAAGGGAGGTTTCGAATTCGAAATTTCAAAATCCGAATTTGATATGATATTCGGGAAGTCCACGTGAAAGATGATGACAGCAATCCCAACCAAATATTTAATCTAATAAAAATAATCAGATGAGAAATTGAATGCAGCACCAAATCAACGAGAATTTCGGGGCACCGTCCGGCAAGTCATGATTTCACATTGCCGATTCGGACCTCCAGTCTCGATCGAAAATTAAGGGCCCTCCAGCCGGACATGACCTACCACCTGGACTATTAAATAAATACGAAGCGAAATCCCGTTTTGCAGGATCAGGTCGGACTTGGCCAGCTGAGTGCCAATCGGCCGGCTGTGTCTGATCCTGCATAACGGGATCCCGCTTCTACGTGAATGTGTCATTGTCAAACACCGATGCTGCAATGAACATGGATTCCTCCTCGTCAATCCAGTTCCAATTCCCAGAATCTGAACGACACAAACAATCAGCAACAGAGTCTTGCATTTGCTTAACGATCGATACGATCATCGAAAATCAATTACAGCCCCGTTTTCTCACTTGTATTCGATCAAGCAAATGGAGGACTGAAGGTGAAGAACAAATAACATAGCATGCAGATTTCAAGCTCATAACACAAAACAGAAGCAAATGGAAATCGGAAGTGAACCCGAGAGAAACGAACTCTGAAAGTAAATAATACAAGTAAAAATGTTCATGATTATACTATAGAGTTTGGAAATTGAGAAGAAACAAAAGTATGATATAAAAAAAATAGAGACAATAACAATAAAACCCATCACAAAACCAGCAGCGGCTGGAGGTGGTGCCGCTGTGTTTGTGGCCTGAACTATGGTCTCCGAAATGCATCTCCTATACATACACATTCTCTGCAACCTACTCTTTCTCTGCCATTTTTATTCTCCACAACTCATCAAATGGATAATCCATAACAATTTCAAATAAATATGGGAGAGACTTTCTTTCTCCTCTTACCTCTCTCTCTACACTGATATTACATCTCTATGCTTTCACCTCTTCTTCTCTGTTTCTTCAGACATTTGTTCGTCGACGCCGAAATCGGTGATTGACAACAAGAATTGCATACAAACTCAAACTTTCATTGCTTTTTTTTTTTTTTTTTTGCTTATTCTAACTCTGCACGAGCGATGAGAATTGCCCGAAAGAGAAAGAAATGATGGTGTGGGGGAGAGAAGAAACCGTGAATGTGAACGAGGACTGTTGAGTTTTTGGTGACTGTGCTCTGGGAAAGGTTAGAGGAGGAGAAAATTCTCAAAAGAATCAATAGAAGGGTGGCGGCGGAGGAGACGCGTATGAAACTCCAAAGATGGGTGGCAATGGGCCCTCATATACAGGGGTGGGAGGCGGCGGGCTTTCATAAACAATTGGCGGTGGTGGAGAACTGTAGTGAACCGGTGGGGGTGGTGATGGATGAGGTGGCGGGGTTTCACAAGGAATTGGGGGTGATGGGGATGGTGGTGGTGGGGAATTGTAGTGAACAGGTGTTGGCGGTGGTGGTGATTGGTATTGGAATACAGGGGGAGGCGGTGAAGGGGATGGTGGGGGAGGGGACTGGTACACTGGTGGAGGTGGAGAAGAATAGATAGTAGGTGGTGGTGGGGGTGAGGGTGAAGGTGGCGGCAAGTAAACAATGGGAGGAGGTGGCGGGGGAGGTGAATATTCAATACATGGTGGTGGTGGGGAAGGTGGAGGGGGTGGTTCTATACAAAGTGGTGCTGGTGGTGGTGGTGAGAGGACTGGGGGAGGTGGGGAATGTCCAGGAGGTGGCGGTGATGGATAGACATATATTGGTGGTGGTGGTGAATGCGGTGGGGGTGGTGGTGAATGTGGAGGTGGAGGCGAGTGTGGAGGTGGGGGCGAATAGTACATGTAGGGAGAAGGTGGAGGTGGAGAGCTCAATGGAACCGGTGGTGGGGGTGAACTTGGTGGCGGAGGTGGTGGGGGCCGCACGCAATAGGGTGGCGATGGTGTTGGAGGCGGTGGTGATGGTGGAGGTGGCGAGTAAACCGGCGGGGGTGGTGAATAGACTGGTGGAGGAGGAGGTGATGGTGATGGTGGGGGTGGAGGCGGAGGTGGCGGTGGCGGCGGAGGTGGTGAGTAAACTGGTGGTGGGGGCGGTGAGTAAACTGGTGGCGGTGGTGGGGGTGGCGAGTAAACTGGTGGTGGGGGCGGGGGGCGGGGGGCGGGGGCGGTGACAACACTGGAGGTGGTGGTGGAGGTGGAGAGTAAACCGGTGGTGGCGGAGATTGGGGTAAAACAACCGGGGGAGGAGGCGAAGGAAGTGGAGGTGACGGCGGAGGAGGAGGAGGCAAAGACGGAACAAAAGGCTTACATCTAAAAGAACTACAATCCACAGGCTTGGACAAGAACGACTTACACTGTGCCGCCGTTCGCTGTGCCGGCCTATTCGGCAAGCAATTCCTCTTGTCGTCAAAGCCCGCCAATCCGAGACACACCGGCGGCTCACTTGTAAAGAAGTTATACGAGTAAGTGAAGTTCTGCAGATTCGGCAGTGAACAAATACTCGCCGGAATCTTCCCCGACAGCAAGTTGTGCGCCACATTGAGCTGCTCCAAGCTCACCATCCCTCCAATTGACTCCGGCAGCGACCCCAGAAACTGGTTGAAGCTGACGTCAAACACCGTCAAGTTCTTCAGCATCCCAATCTCCGGCGGCAAGCACGACCGGAACCCATTGTTCATCAGGATAATCTCGTTGAGGTTGGACATGTTCCCCAAACTAGCCGGAACGCAGCCGTGGAACTTGTTGTTGGCGAGGACGATGACGGAGACCGGCGAATTCCCGAAGTTATCGGGCAGATCGAACCGGAACCGGTTGTGGTTGATGAAAATGGCGTCCAAGTCCTTGTCGAACAGCTCCTTCGGCACCGTCCCTTCGAACTCGTTGAACCTCAGATCCAAGAATTTCAGCTTCGGCAGCTGGAGAACCACTCGAGGGAACTTTCCGGCGAACCGATTGTTGCTCAAATCGAGCTCGAACAGCAGCTTGAGGCGGTTGAACTTGTGAGGAACAGTTCCACAGAACCTGTTGGAGTTGATGTGGAACAATGCGAGATCCGTGAGCAGCCCGAGCTCCTCCGGCAAGTACCCGGCAATGTCGCCGTGGTTGAGGTCGATCCCGGCCACGGTCCGGATCGTTCTGTTGTCGAGCGCCTTGGTGCAGAAAACTCCGGTGTAATTGCAGACATTAGATCCCACCCAATTGCCCGTGATGTTGAGCGGGTCGGAGAGAATGGCCTGCTTCAACGCCTGCAGCGCTATGTAAGCGTTCCGGAGCCGGTCATTCTCGAAGACAAGCGAGGGGTCGACGGTCACGAGCTCGCCGCGGTCGCCGAACTCGTCGCGGTAGTAAAGGAGCTGGCGGTTCTTGATGTAGAGGGCTTCCTCGTCGGAGAGAGCTCCATGGCTGACAATGTGGCTGCTGCGGCGGTGCTGGTGTTGGTCCTCCTGAGCAGCAGCACCATAGAAGAATGATGACGCGGCAAGGAAAAGGGCAGCGAGGAGAAGTGAGAGGTGGAAGAGGGTGGCGGTCTTCTTCTTCATCTCACACCAGACATCTGAATCCACCAATGCCACTTTTAAAAATTTCTTCGAAAGATTAAGAGCCTAGAAAAAAGAAAGAGGAAATTAGAAGAAAAAAAACCCCTTTCTTAATTTTCTCAGGTGAGATTGCAAATGGGGTTTTGGAGCACCTTGAGATCTGAGAGAGGAGGAAAATGTAGAGAGAGAAAGGAAGAAAATGTGGAGAGAGAGAAAATGGGGTTAGGGGTTTGAGGAGGAAGGAAGTGGTGGTGGTGGTGGTGGGGGAGGGAGGAGTGGGGGGCAGATTTCTAGGGATTTTGGAGATGTGTGTTTGTTTGTATAGTTTCTCTACTGCTAGTGTGATAGAGAGAGAAAGACAGCTAATCACAGCTCAAAGCCCACCAGAAACTCTCTCTCTCTTTCCTTCTCTTTCTTTCTCTCACTATCTTTCTTTCTTTCTCTCTCCCTCCCTCAATTTGCTCCTTTTTATTCTTTTTTCCAGAGTCCCATTCCCATTATTCAACTCTCTATGCAAGCTGAAGATTGGAATAAAGTCATAAACCCCATTAGAAAAATATTCCAAATTTGTTCATTTAGGTGGCTTATTAATAATGTTGACAATAATTAATCTAATCCTTTTTTTTTTTTTTTTTTAAGTTGTTGTGGGGGCAGTTGATAGCTTGATTTTTATACCTGTAGTTTTAGGAAGGTTTCACTTTACAGATTATGTAATTCCAGGTGTCTCTTTGAAGTTGTGAAGAGAGTTTATTCATCCGCGTGAAATATTTAAGTAATTTTATCTGACTTTTCGATTATCAATTGGTTTGAATTCGAATTCAACTTCTTTAATGATATCATTACTATATTGACTTACATGTAAAGCACAATACTTGCACATGTCCCAGGTGGCTTAATTGGTGTCATCCATAAACTTAGTTTGAATGTCACCACTTGAATGAGAATGTGACAAGAATCTTGCCGCGTTAAAAAGTTACGAAACGTTGCATAAGCTTATACTGAGATAAGCTGCTTTCCTTAACGAACAAAATTAGCATGTAAACAACAAGTGAAAGTACATGGACCAAAATGAAACTTCATAAAATTGGTGGAGCTAAAATCATAATTTGGCGCATCACGGGATGTTAAAAATTTGGAGCAAATTAGTGGGGTGGGAGATTTCAATGACCACTTTATGGAGGTGGGGGTGGAGGTTGTTTTCGTCAAAACACACCAACAAACGAGTCTCTTGGAGTAAATGAACTGCCACTAACGTTATGTTGAATTACGTCATTATCCTTGTGAGCGTTTTCATTTCCAAGTTTCTCCTCGTCACGGGGTGGGGGCACTGTTGAGGAAGAGATTTTTTTAGTGTGACTGTCACATAGGATGGTATATCACGTGTCGTTATATAAATAGTATGATATGCGTGTTAAAAAGTTAGTAACTTAAAAAATAAAATTTCCCACCACTTAAATAGAAACACATGATTTATCATCTGTATTCTCGTTACAACTAAAAGTTTCTCATGTTGAGGAGCGGGAGCGGAATGGCATTAGAAAATTAAACCACCATTCGATGCTGAAAGAAGAGTGACCAACGTTGTTGAAACCCAATCACAATTAAACACGTATTTAATTGTAGTTTCAATTCAAAATATTTTGATACGTATTTATTTGTGATGGGTTTTTCAGCGGCGGTAGAAAATTTGGAGGAGCGCACTGAATCCTTGTCTCTTAATCAAGTAGCCACAAAAGTTTCAACAGAAAAATTCTAATTAGAACATGCAACCTAGCTAAAAAACAACAAATCACTCACTTTCACATTTTAATTTGTCCTTTTGTTTGTATTTTTAGGAAAAAAATTCAGTCAAATGAATCAATTTTTTAAAAAAAAAAAAAAAAAAAAAAGTCTAGACATTATATATGTTCACTGTTTGAAAAATCAACTTAAGCGGCTACTTAGGATTTGTGCGGTGGATAGCTAATAAGATTTAGGAAAACTTAAAGAAAAATCAGGTAGGGAACGAGGAAGAAAAACACAAGTAAGATTTCGTATTATGGGTAACTATTTGGTGCTTTTACACTTAACCCAGTTAAGGGAGAAAACATAGCATAACCAATGCTTTTCTATCATTGTTAATCTTTTACAACAATCTCATTTTGTTAATTTATCTTGCTACCAACTACATTTTGTTAATTTTTTCAAAGTTCATATTGTAATGCCATGTTGAGATCATATTTTCGTCTTTTCTTAAATGGAAAGGAAAGAATATTTCTCGTATGATCTCAAGATTAAAGAAAACAAATATATGTCTATCTCAGCTAAATGAGACAAAAATTAAACGAAAGATAGCGAAATGAGTCTGAGAATAAGGTACGAATAATTAAGACAAATTAGCTATGACACGATTTGCTTTGTTTAATTTAGGTAAAAATTCACGCAATATAAAAGGTGGCCGGCAGAAAATAAGATAATTAGATAAGGATATGTAATAAAATGGAATTAAGATAATTAGATTATGATATGTAATCAAAAGGAATAAAGACTCCAAAAAAAAAAAAAAAGAATTAAAGATATACGTTACTTTTAGTTTAGCATTCATGAAGAAGGGTAGATCCGGAATTTAACGAAATAAAAGATAAATACCATGCCATGTAAATGCAATGCATAAATGTCACCGTGCTTCGCGTCCGTATGACCGCCGATGCTGATGCCAATCATCAATGATGGTTAAAAAAACATCAGCTGTTGATTTTTCCGTTTTCCCCTTCCAGCACGTAGGTGGGGCCCATCAAACTGGGTCAATAAAATTCCATATAGCGACACATTCACATCGCCCAAGGCAACCGTGTGTTCTGGGGCCCCACGCGTCACGTCATGCCCGGCTGTATCGTCGGCGTTGATGAGGGTCCACGTCCGTGTGGTGCACCGCGTCCATGTACGCGTCTACACCCACCGCAAAAGCGCTCCGGTTGGGAACTGTCTGAAAAGACTATACTGCCCCCTCACGGTTCTTTTAGTTTTTATTTTTTTTTATTTTTCCGAAACGCAACCTAAAGCAAAAAGGCCCAATCACCGTTTTAACGCCTTTTTTTTCCCTCCGTCAAATGGATCCGGAGCTTATTTAATTTTGGTACCGCCGTTTATAGCGTTTTTGAGTGTTTTTTTTTTTTTTTTCCTTTTCTTTTATGGTGATTTTAAAATCGATTTTTTAGTGTGCACCAATGTATAGGTTGATGTTATTGGTTATTGTATCTTTTTTTCATCCTAACTTACTGCACATTCAACGTTTCTTATCAAGTTGCATGCATTTATTTATTTATTTATTTTTATTGATCTAATGCAAATCGTATATCGAAACATAAAAGAAGTTTGTTATTTTCAATTTTTTATTTTATTTTATTTTTTACCAAAAGTAAATTGAACTTTTTGGTTACTTATAAATGTTTAAGGTTGAGTAATTTCAGCTGCGGTTGTGAAATAATTGTGTGGACATGATATCTGTGATTTTTTTACCATGTGTGTGATGGTAATTTGATGATTGATTTGTGGAGTTGGTAGGGTACCACTTTGTCTCCAAATGTTGTGCATATCAAATATCAATTAATCTGTTCTAAGATTAAATGATAGCGGCAGCAACACCGATTCAATCCAAATGATATTTGGTGGATTAAGCGCTCCTTCGAAAGTTCTCTTAAAATTAATGAAATTGTTTTCGGCAAAAATGTTTTAGAACCAATCTTTAGAAAAACGCAAGTGATCTAAGAAAAAAACTTGACTTGCTTTCTAGAAGAAACATATAACCGGTGCTTCTTAAAAGAACCAATCATAATGATGCTTATTTCAAAAAGCAATTCAATGTTCTTGGAACTACAAAATATTTTCTCTAAACTTCAGTTATTTAAAAGTACTTTCAAACGTGTTAATTTGCTAACTCATTTCACTTAAATCTAGGGTTTAAACAAAAAAAGAAAATTAATCTAAACGAGAACCATTCAAAAGTGGACCTTTTCTTTTCAACTCTTTGTTCTTGATCTCATATGATGGGATTGCATATTTGTTTTGCACCGTCAACCCGATCATTTCTTGTCTTTTGTTTCATTTTTTAGGGTTTGAAGCATTTTGTCAACCATTTTTAACTTAACAAAATGTATAGTTCTGGTTCCCATATATATATATATATATATTATAAAAAAAGAGACAAGGTGGTGACTTCATCACTGCGATTTTGGGGTCGAAAATATTCATAGAGGTATCGTGTGATTCATACAGTACCAGAACTCGAACTCTAAACATGTTGTATGTAATACAGGCCTAAAATTCATTCACAACCATTTAACCAGTGGTGTTTTTGCTAATCATATTATGAACCATATAAGTTTAATATTCAACCCTTAAAATGTTCATACACTCAAGCGAAAACGTTATTCTTCACCGTCATCGTTGTCATCTTCTTTGTCTTCATATTTTTATTTATAACTTAAACACCGTAATCTTCATTTGGCTTAATTAATTACTAACACATTGCTATTCGTCCACTTAAATGAAATGATTTTGCATAATTGTCAACCAATTAAGCCGTCAGTTTGAAGCTGTCGTCCAATCAACAACCTGTCGTCCCAAATGGGTGGTCAAGATTAAACAACTCCTCACATGAATTTCTAAGCAAATATGACGCCAATACGTAAAGCAGGTTATAATTTAATTAATTATATTTATTTGGTACACTTGTAACGTTTTTTTAATCATTTTCATGTTATAATATGCGACAATGTTAATATATATCACTTTTAAAATACTGTAATATATATCGCTATGTGATGGTATCTCCATTATATTGAAAAATTGCTCGTTCGAGGCCCGTCTTGAGTCTTTTTTGTATAGTTTAGGGAAATGCTTGTATATATGTTGTGTAAATCAAACCACAAATCTATGGTGGTAAGAATCTAAACGATATCTATGTGAGTCGTGCAAGTAGTAATCATTCGATAATAATTTATACTGACACTATATTCTGCGGGCAACATTTTGTATTGCACATATAAAATGAAGAATAATTTAGGGCTTCATGCGAAAAATGCTTTTACTCCTATCAAAATTTTACTTCTAGGGTTACAGACTTGCGTGCATTATTCATGCATAGATAACGTCCATTTGAAGGCAACATCAACGTTGCCAATAGTTTCTCGACTGATAGATAGTTGATAGTGATACAAGTCTAAAAGTACGTTAATTGTCTGCAATCATTAACTTGTGCGTGACCTGTGACCTGTGACCCAATGGCTTATGTACATTGGGATCAAGGTGGTCTCAGGATCACTCTAAGGTCAGAAAACAAGTATGTGAAGGTCATCTAGGTACCATCCGAATGTTTGGTACGTGTCACTTTTGTGCCCGTCAAGTGTCTGATGTAATGCTTGCTAGGTATATTTCGGCAACCACTCAACAAGTTGTGTCTATAACACTCAATAAATGTTCTCGATAGCACTCATCAAATAGCTTCAGCAAATGTCGATATCTGGTAACATATATGCA